TGGGAAAGTAACAGGAAACAGATGAAGATAACTGATTACTGTACTCGTATCTAGGTACAGTAAGGCACAACAATTGATGTAATCTACTGTAATTTGGTGAGTAGGCCTACCTTTAATATACAGTATTAGTGCGGTGTGTATTGTTAGTGAAAAGCGCTGTAATATGTCTTTGATATTACACATTTGGGCAATTCCACGTTAATGTTACGTTAGTCTGTACTTAACTACGTATTTCACTAAAAAATGCAACATTTTAACTCGGTTTTTGGTAGATTTTTACGTGACTAACATAAGGCTACTGTGGAAGTGCCCATTTCGGTTACAACGACATTCGTTTATAACGACACTATTTTTAGGTCCCTTTGATGACGTTATAACCAAGTTCTACTGTATATATTTTACATGGATGCAATGCTCGTTCTCTCACAGTGAAAAAACACAATTACTGAGAGGTTTTAGAACAAGTTTTGAAGACATTTGGAATTACTGATGGCTTTCATTCTGGTAGAAAATGATGATACATCATGCAAGCATCTTTCTCCAAAAAATTAATGAAACTGAAATATTATACTAGAAGATTTAGGGAATTATAGACAAATGTCGGAATTCTGGCCACTTTCAATTACAGAAAAAATCCCAGAGAAATACTGGACCTTAGGGAGATTAAATAATATGGGAATATAGAAATTATAAAATTTGTACTGATGGGAAGTTACCACTTCTGGCTATATTAATGATACCAAAATTGTTACGCAAGCACTAGCTATTCCTTGGTGCCACACTAGGTATCAACTAAATGAATTTTCATGGACACAATATGTATTAGCACACAATAAACTGACATGCCAGACAGTGCCTACGATGGGAATCCATCTCACTGGCATCATTCTCAGTATCTGGAAATTTTTAATAACAAAAGCAGGAACTTGTCTTTCAACTATTATAGGAACAACTAATTTTCTTTTGTGTCTTTCCATCTGTGTCTGGCTTAACTAATGTTCTTATCGCTCTTTTTTCTTTTTAATCTGCAGCTTTTAGTGTTGGTCTTGATTACATTTTTATTGAAGCCTTGAAAATCGTTTCTATATTTTCTTCTTTATGGTCATGTGAAGCTGAACACCTATTCCTCCTTTAATATCTTTTGAGACATGTTGACAGTTTTTATGGATCTTGGTATGGATGTCTTGCAACTGGAAATCAGCAGTCTTCCTTACACCTTTTACTTCCTACTATCAAACAATATGACCCACAACAACCCAATAAAATTGACTTAACGCTGAGCACCCTAGATTCAATTGCCCACATAGGTAGGATATTTCTGTACCTTAACACAAACACACTACCTACTGCAATACGTGCCATCAGCATACGGACTTGATCTACAAGTAAGAAACTAACATCCCTCACAGATGAACTGGGTTTAGAGGTCAGCTGGATTCACAGACTCTTTCAAATTCTTTCCCATCCTTTGTGGTTCACATCCAATGTTATATGCTGGTTCCCTCCATGAACTTAATCATTCTACCACCAGAGGAAAACTGGAAATCCCACTCAATGGGTGCTCCCATTGAAAACTATAAATTCCTACCTTCATGCAAATCAGGCAGGTTAGGATAGGCAAAATTTATTTCTTTACAATAACTAAATCTGGTACTGATTGTTTCCTTCATTGTCTGTCCAAACATTTGAAGAGTTTCATCTTTTTCTTTACCTTTTCAAAAAACTATTTCAGCATAGTAATATGTCTTTTAATTCACCCTATGGCCTCCCAGGTTATGAAATATACACTCTGCTATGTGGGTATCAACATTTTTGAGGAACACACCAACCCTATCTACCCAACAATGATTCTTAATAGCAGTGAAAAACTTAAATCTCATATAGTCTCATGTTCTAAAATTAGGCCTACTCTATGTCTATCCACCTGAAACTCAACCTTCTATGACTATTCTGATTAATAAACTACAGAATAGCTCTCAGAATTACTGGCTTTTTGGGCTTTGCCCATCAACCAGCATTCAAAAAACAGCAGAAAACACAATGTTTTGGAAATTGGATCTGTTATGATCCTCAGATGAGGGTGGAGACATGTACTCTGCCGTGTCTGTTAGAAAGAGTCAAGGTCAACTGTCCTGTTATTGAGGTCAGCTCTTTCTAATGGACCCAAGAGAGTAGGTGCCTCATCCCCTAATTTATTTTTTATTGCTGGTGGGATGGGACTAAGTCCCTTGTACTGCGGCCCCTTCTGGCCTATTGTACCAGCCCCAGATGATAGGTAAGGGTGATTGTGGAGCAATTGGTGGAATGAAGATTGGCAGGGGAAACCAAAGTACTCTGAGAAAACTTGCCCCAGTGCCACTTTGTCCACCACAAATCCCACATGACCAGACCTGGGATCGAACCCGGGCCGCCTAGGTGGGAAGCCAGCGACTAACCACTTGAGCTATGGCGCGGCCCGTAACAGGAGGTATACTTCAAGCATTAAATTACAGAAGAGGAAGCTACATCCTCAACTCCATCCACCTATATTCCTTGTTTGATCACAATATATAAAGCACAGTAGCCTCTTAACAGCACATCACACACACAATGGAGGTTATTTGAATATGCTAAATCTAATGAAATGTACTATGTATGTGGTCACTTTTGACTTGCACGTGATTAATTCTCCTATGCTGGAAGTCTGCCTCTTTTAAGTAACTCTTCTGTCTGCTAAGTTTGGTTAGTTTATTCCTTTTTATTACTTTCATGCCTAGAATTCTTGAAGATGTTTCTCTGCATCATTTTATGAAATCATGGAGCTAGAAGCGTAGGGAGGGTTTTGGGTATGGTGTGCAATGCACTCCTGTGCCTCTCTATTCTATACAATTATCTACTTTGTGTTCTCTTCAGGTTACATTATGTACACCATGCATATGCATGCAGAGTAACTCAATGTTGTTTCACCTTTTCCATCCATTCAGGGCCCTGTCCTGCCTTTTCTCCCAATCTGTCTGTAGCTTTGTTGGCTTGTTTGCACACCTTGTCCCAGTTCACTTTGATATAACCTTGGTGGTTTGCAATCTGCAAAAGTATGATGCCTCCTCCAAACGCGAAGGCAGCAGCTTTTCCGACTTTCATAGAAATGAATCCCGTGCACCTGTGAAAGAGTCTGAGCAGTTATAACGAAACTGACCGAAACAGTATGCATGTTTCCATAAATAATTTACGTTTATAGAGGTTATGTACTCTTCATATTTACCATCCAGAAATACTTCCAATTATAAGTTGCTTCGTAGCGGAATATTTTCCTACGTCTCCCAACACTCTGTCAATTAAGCCTTCACCAGTGCTAACCACATTATTTTCTTCTTCATTTGATTTCCTAATACTTCGCGACGCCATTGTTTTCTTTGAAGCTCTAAATTGTATATTGCACAAAATGACTCACATCTGACGTGCTGCAAGGCTGCACTACCTATTTTCAAAATTTACTGTAACGATACATCCAAGTCTTATATTTATCAACCGTTCAATTGAAAATCTTTGGCTTGACAGAACAGGCTCTTTAATCTCTCGTGCTGTGACAAACTCATTCTTTAAAAGCAAGACTTTTTCTAACTTTTATTAATTGTAGTTACGACTTGTAGGTTGTTAATAAAACCAATTACCAATCCAAACCGCGTCTTCAATAGTGAAACACACTACAGTATTATAATTTGTCCTGGAATAAATTTCCATAAAAACTCTCACGCTTTTCCTATTGACTGTAGCCTGTAATAACCTGTGTGTTACTAAGTATTAAATTTTAAAATATTTAATACGTCAATTTCAGTGCCGTCACTGAAGTGTTTATCTTCTTGGAGCATTTTGGTGTAATAAATCCGCTGCAGCAAACCTTCGGAGAATCAAACCGTAAAATATACTGGGAAGGTTCATTAAATGGTTGGACACTTTTGAATTGAATAAGCAGGGACGATCACAATTATGTTTGACACTGCTTACCGGCTCAATCCAGATTGAGACCACAAATGGTGAAAATCAACATTGACAAAAAATATTAAAGTACAATGACTTGAAGATGGGATGGGCCACATCTTAAAACGCAAGGACCTTCTAAAACTATGTTCAACCAAGCTTTATAAATTAATTTTCCTTTTATTTATTGGGATATTTTTTTATTCATGTTTATTCACGGCATGAACTGTGTTTTTACGATATAACGTTCCCATGCTAGTAAGCTAACTACACCAATCAGTTTTTGTCTAATAATAATTGTCCCCATGCTTAACTAATTAAGTGCTACTCCATGAAGACGTATGGGGGACTGGATGTAGAGCCATATATTCTTGACTTCTTGACCTTGGCACTAGTTGCAGGTGAATGGTCAGCTTCATGCCCCAGCTGCTACACTGGTACCCATTGGCCAGGAGGCTGGGTGGGTCCCAGAACCATTTTGGATGACTTGGAGAAGAGAAAAATCTTGTCCCTACCGTAGCCAGTCACTCTACTGACTGCTCTATCGTGGCACCCGTTTTTATCTTAAAGTAACCTGGACTATTATTTTACGCATCGAACCCGAAGAGCCACGTGTTATTCCCAGCGTGTATAAATACACAAGGTATCAAAAATGAAAATAAAAATAGGATGCAAACTTCTCAGTGTTCTCTCTACGAATTTGTTTTTGTATAATGTCTCTGTGCTAGTGGTCAGGGTTCCTGCCTGCGGATCCACAGGTCCCGGCTTCGATTCCCGGCGCTACCAGATTTTCTGACAAGTGGAGGGTTTGGAACGGGGTCCACAAGGCCTCGTGGGGATGGTTGAGGGGCTGTTTCAGGGAAATAGCGGCTCCGGTCTGCAGGGCCGAGATTGGCGGCCGTGGGGATCCGTTGTACTGGCCACGCGACGCACTCTTTCCACAAAGGTTAGCACTGGCTTCGCAGAATAGTGCGCTTGCGGACTACAGGCCACGGAGTTTGTTAATGCTTCTATAAATTATGAGAATAGCTCACTCGGTCTAGATACGGGCTACGCGCTGGACGGCCGGGGTTCAGTTCGGGGCAGAAGCAAGATATGTCTCTTCCTCACAGCGCCCAGACCAGCCTACCAAATTGTATGGCGTCACGTCCCAGAAGCCCGTAATCTTGTTAGTCAATGTGGTTTTCAGTGTTTTGGCTGGAAACCAGATAGGACGATAATGCTAAAACGAACCTTATTCTGGAGGAACTGAGATCCGACATTTGCTTCCATGCATAAACCTATACGTCTCATAATCCTACGGGCCTCCACTGTCTCCTACAGGGATAGCTTTACCTTTATATACATAAAAGTAGCACAATTCACACAACCACACAAATTTATAGCTAATGACGATACATGGAATATAGACTATACATAATATCGAACGTAGGCACCTAAATGATATCACTTTAGTCGCTCAGTTGGTAGAGCGATGGACAATAGTAATATTGCACTCATAGGTCTATAGTAATCCATTGGTCGCTGGTTCAAATCCGGCCTAGAAGAATTTTTTTTTTTTATTATCGCGTGCTATTTATAATCGTCACTTCGCGTGGCAAGTAATTAGGTTTACAGCTGCGGTTACACTCTATGCATCTAATTTCGCATTGTATATATCCTGACACTTATTTTTGTATTACAAAATATGACGCCCTTAATTGCTACAATCTAAAAATTTCGGATTCGAACTTTCACCCTAACCAAGAGGGCAGGGGATAAATTTGTTTAAGATTGTGCCTGGGTGAATGAGACATGAACAAACATGAAGACTTTAACAGGTTAACAACTCCATTGCATTTTAAATTTATGCACGTCGTGCAATATTCGGCAGGTGTCGGGTTCGAATCTTTACCGAAACATCGACTATTCGAATTAAGTTCTTCATGTTTTTTCTCATTTCCTCCTGGAAAATCCCGGAATAGTACCTCAAATAAGGCCATGACTACTGATTTCCGTATCATTTTCTGTTCATTCTTTATCATCATCTAGTCATTCAATTATATTATACAGCCTAAGATTCTGACAGCATCGTCAAATACACTACAAATAAGATGAGATATGGCGTGCCAAGAAAAGTAGTTGCCGCAAGTCACGTATAATAGAAGCATGGACTTCATGTCCTGTTTCATGGAGCTGTGAGTGTTGGTGATAATTTCGGTGGAAATTAAGAGGATATTGAACTCGGGTAGTGCTTGCTACCATTCAGTCCAGAACCTTTTGTCTTCTCGTCTGCTGTCCAAAGACATAAAAATTAGAAAACACAAAACTATAATTTTGCCTCTGGTTCTGTATGGGTGTGAAACTTGGTATCTGACATTAATGGGGGATCATAGACTGAGGGTGTCTGAGAACAGGTTGTTGAGGACAATATGTGGACCGAAGAGAGATGAAGTGACAGGAGGTTGGAGAAAACTACATAATGAGGAGCTTCATAACTTGTACTCTTCTCTAAGTATAATTAGAATGATCAAGTCAAGGAGGATGAAGTGGGCAGAGCATGTAGCACGAATGGGGGAGAAGAGGAATGCATGTAGGTTTTTGGTGGGAAAGCCAGAAGGAAAGAGATCACTGGGAAAATCAAGGCATAGGTGGATGGGCAATACTAAAATGGATCTTAGAGAGATAGGATGGGACGGTATGGATTAGATTGATCTGGCTCAGGATAGGGACCAGTGGAGGGCTCTTGTGAATATGGTAATGAACCTTTGGGTTCCATATAATGCTGGGAAATTCTTGAGTAGCTGCAGAATTGGCTTCTCCTCAAGAAGGGCTCAGTTCCATAAGTAAGTAAGTAGTCAAGGCTGCGCCATAGCTCAAGCAGTTAGTCGCTGGCTTCCCACCATGGCGACCCAGGTCTGGTCAAGTGGGATTTGTGGTAAACAAAGTGGTGCTGGGGCAGGTTTTCTCAGAGTATTTTGGTTTCCCCTGCCATTCTTCATTCCACCAAATTCTCTGTCATCATAATCACCCGGGGAAGGTACAATAGGCCAATCAGTGGCCTCCATGCTGAGTGGACCCAGCTGGACTCCACCCCCAACTAAGAGAATTAATTAAAAGTAAAGGTATCCCTGTAACAGGCTGTGGAGGCCCATAGGGTTGTGAGATGTTGAGATTCCCACATTTTCTAGACAATTAGCTCATATATGGTAGTAAGGTTGTCAGCCTTATGCGCCGGCCATCCTTTAATTCCAAGAATATTCCTGGTACTCATTTCTGTTAAGAGGCTGAGTCGACACCAGGGCCACAGTGCAGCTGGAAGGTCTTATACATGACTTTATTCATTAAATACTTGTATATATTTAATAAAAGTATGAAAGGGTTAAGCAGTAACAGCACAACTCTCTTCTTGAAGAAGGTGCTTCACCATTTCACCAAGCATTATCATCTCATTTCCAATAAATAATAAATCAATTTTATGGAAAAAGTATGAAAAGAATGCCACAAAAATGCATTTTCATAGGCCAGTGAATGAAGCTGATCGATGCAGCAGGAGATGATTATTTCTTGATGTGGACTAAAGCCAAATGTTGCACTATATAGTAATGGATGCTTCTTTGACTTCAGGTGAATATTAACAGTAAGGTTAATTTGTGGTTTCTGCCCTCCCATTACCAATCCTGGAACAATGCATAATCATGGACACTGTCATTTATATTAAATATACTTTTGGTAAAGGATCAATGTCAAGAAAGCTACTTTATAGGATGACAATGCAGCCTATCTTGGTAAACAACTGCTAAGAAACTGAGGAAATAGTGATAAACTCAGACAGGACAGTTTACTGTTGGCCAAAGAATGAACCCAATATATTTTTTTTATTTGTTTCATTCTGGTCTGTCACACTAACAATATCATGAAAAGTTAAACAGTTCTGTCCAGTGTGACTCGTGAAGATTGTTTTAATTTCAATTATTTATGTCCTGAATGTTTCATCATCAGAGGGACACCTTTACATCAATACATTTGAAGGCTACTATTACAGTATATGTTCTGAAAGTTAAAATGTATACATATAAAATAGTATACAAATGGGTATAAAATCTAAAGTCTTTACAACTGAAGTGCCTGTTCCAATACTTCGGGCCTCAGAGCTGGTTTGGAAATGGCAACAAACAGAAATTACAAGTTCAGGACACATCTAACATTCTTCTCCCTACTCATCATTTGTTCACAGTTTCTTTAAAATCTCATTTTCTTGCTGCAGTATCTGACTTACAGGGATTGTTTTGGTTTCAGCTTCAGCTGAAATTACAGTAACTTTCAGGTAAAGATTGATATGAAATCAATAGCTCGAATTTTCCTTTATATTCTAGCCATCCTTCCATATTCACATTTCTGTTTATTGAAAGTTCAGCTCTCAATAATAAATACAATGCAGCCTCTCTCAGTTGGCTCCTTACTGTTGTACCCACATGATTTCCCTTTTAGAATATATGCCAGTATTTTACCATTCAAGCATGCATCCCAAGTAAACAATACATGATATCCTTCTATTACTTGATGAAAGTGATGTATTATTGCTATTTTGGCACTTTATTTGGACATTATCCACTGTTTGGTTCAAAATAAAAAATTCTAAAAATTCTTACATTTCAGAGACTGGCTCTGCCTCCAACCCCAGGTAAAATACAGATAAAGAAACCTACTCAGTAGCATATCTTCACCAGTAGGCACAGAAGCAGTCAGGATGACAATATATAAGAACAGTGAACATTTTTCTCTGGGAGATAAACACTACATCAAATACGTTAATCAACAGGACAGACTGGATCATAAAATTATTATGCAGGAAACCAAGACTAAAGCAAAAAGTATAAAATATGGCAAGTGAAAATGAAATTACATTTTTCAGCTCTTCTTCACTGAAGTGATTGAAATGTTTGTAGCAGAGACTAATGAATATTGAGATGTGATGGATGAAAGCTGGAATAGCAGACTCAGAAAAGACATCTCTTGCTAGGCAACGGTCACCACGACAATTAGAGTCATGGTTAGAAAGGATGTTCTCTGTAGGGTCCATGCCAAGGTTATAAAAAGAGAGCTCAGACAATGCTTTGTAAGAGACAAAACCATCTCGCCAGAGATGATGTTACATAAGGACTATGACCGCAAGGGTTTAGTTGAAAAAGAGAATCTCTGGTTGTGAGTCTCAAGGGGCCTGGCACCAAGATGAACTGACTGGAGGTAAACCGCCAGTCATAAAGCAACTCTGACTTTGAGAATTAGTCAGCCTACAATATCCACCATGGGAGTCAATGAAGCCCAGTTGCAGTTGAAGCCTGAAGTTCCTGCCTGGAACTTCTTCGCCCCCTTCAGGTAAATTGGAATGGAGGCTAACCATTGAGACGATGCAAACGATACTGCTGAGCATCATCCAGTCAGGCCAGTAGGCCACCTCCATTGTACTAACCTCTCAAGTAAACCTGATAAAATGGCAAAGACAACTGAAGGGCTTATGGAAAGGCAACTATGAGTTCTGTAACACCAGAAATTGGACCAGAGTTGCTGCAAAAGAAATGCTGGATTTTCCAAACATCTGCTCTCACCTCCTACACTTCACCTTCTATCCCAGAAGCCTATAAAGGCGGTGATATGGCATATTCAAGTCTGCAGAGGCACATCTGATGGGTTAGTGAACCTTGGCCTTGATGTTATTAGCACTGAACAAACGTCTACCACCCGTAAATCACCTGCTGAAGGAACAACCACAGTAAATATTCTGCTCTTCCTAATAACCATACTGAGGATGTCAAAGTCCCATGAGATATTTAAACTGATGAGCCTTTACTATTGCAATCAGGGTAGAGGCATACAAAGACCAGACTGGTCTCACACAGTGTTAGAGCTGCCAACAATTTGGCCATATCTTGGCTAACTGCAAGCAACCTCTCTGTTGTATGTGGTGTGGGGGCAGTCACCTGTACAAGGCATGCCTGGAAAAAGGCAATACAGCATCGATACTGGTATGCTGCACCTGCAAGTTGGTGGATAGAGAGAAACCTCATGCCTCCAACTATCAAGGCTGCAGGTACACTGAGGAAGACATGTGAAAAAGAAAGTCACAGAACGTGCCCAAGACTACAATAGGAAGGGTGTTCTCTTCCAGCCACACCACCCCAGGGCTATCCTTCATGGTAGTGCCACACAAAAACACATAGTAACAGCAGCAACCTGTTGCCCTCAGTTGCATAGCCCCCCACCCCCCCTTGAGGTACAACCAACACCAAGTATCAAGTCAGTCAGTTCAGGCTCCTAATGCCAACAGTTTGTCGTCTGTGAACAACATGTTCAAAGTAGTCAGAATGATATTTCAGGGATCATATCAGAGCTCAATGGGGCTGAGTCAGAAGAAGGCAGAATAATGACCATCGCAAAACGTGTATTAATACTCCTGAAGCATAATGGCCACTAGAGTACATAGAAGGTAAGGATGTGAACATACAAGCAGAAGAATCGATATTGTTGGGATCCATCACCAGGCAACAGCTAGTGAAGGCATAGAAGATACAGCATGTTCCATAGTGAGAAGTTGAGTGCGCGAATTAGTGAGAATAGTTACAAGTTGTATGAGTTCAATAAATCCAATTATCAATCCAAACCTCATGTATTGTCATTAACACATTATAATACTATGAGTACAACTAAAAATTAGACAAATGTAATAGGGATGACAGTTGCTGACAGCTTCCTGATGTCGCTGTACAGGAAATGCACTCATTTGGCTATAATAACAAAAACATTGGATGGAATAGGCAAACTCTTAGAAAAATAAAGGGTGCAATTCTTGTAAGAATAAAGTAAGATATGGCCTGAAAAGGACATTGTTAAGTCCCTAAAACAAGCACCAACCCCCTGTCCCTAAATAAGGGACAACATCAAGTTATAGTATACCTACTTTTAACTGAGTGACTGAGCCATCTCTATGCCTACTAACAAAGACTAACTCTGGACATACATGGAGGCAGTGGTGACAAAGTCAGTCTCTAAAATCTACTTTTTATTTTTTTTATATTCTAATGGGCTTCTCTCTATTTTTTTTTTTTGCGATGGAGACAGTGATGACAGAGCGAGTCTGAAATGTAGTAATTTTTAGAATGTTATATTTTAAAACATATAATGTCCAGATAAAGTGCCATAATAGGAAGATAAGGGATATCAGCAATGTGAATCAGAGTTAATTAAAATGATCAGCAAATATGCAAATGTGTTCAAAGGTCACTAAGGTGGCTGGCAACAGTCCTCACATTTTTCAATATGGCTAGCAGTGAATGTGCTAATTTATAATGATCCTATGTACTTCTACACATGAGGGTGGAATAAAACCCATTCATACTACTGCTACTAAACAAAGCAGGGTGAATTAAGTTTCATCTGCACAACCTTCACTGTAAAATTGGTGTCGGTTGCAGGCAATGATTAACACTCTGTGATAAAATTAACTGTTGAAGGAAAACAAAATACAGTAACTTCTCAAATATATAGTAAAATGCATCTGTGTGATCAAACTAAACAAGTCAATGAATATTAAGACTAATAATTCAAAGAACTCTGTATTTTGACTATATGAAACGTATTTATCACAACTTATGTGATAGTTATGACCTCTCATTAACTTTTGTCATTTATGTACGAAGAAAGTTTGTGCAAACAATTCACCTACAGTAAGATTTGAGGCTTTCACGGCGGTGACTATGAAGAAAGCAGTCTTCTGGGATTTGGCACCGTGTATATGTGGTGTTAACTGACGTTTCGGAGGAANGTTACCCAATGAAACCTTCTCAAATCTCAACTAGCAAACCAACTTTGTTGTTTATTTAATCATTTTTAACAACAGTTTTTAAGTTTCAATTTGAAAGTGATTTATGAGACTACTTAAAAACAGAAATTAATATATGCATATAGAACATATTTTGTGTAAATTCCAAAATATTCTGAGCTATAATTTCACATGAGATTTGAAATTTTCACAATGGTTGAGACAGTGAAACCCCTAATTAACGTTTTTTGAGTTTAGGTTTTCCATCATTTAATGTTCAATTTCAGTGATCTGAAATCACTTATCTAAGTGCTAAATTTCCTCCATTTAAGATTTTCCTCAGTATAGTGCTAAAATTCACTACTCTCCAAGCAAACATGAAATGGAGCTTTCACTGTATTGAGATTACATTCTAGAATAATCCCAAGACACCATGTAGTTCTGTACATACATATCAACATTTCAGAGGAACTTGCTGACCCTGAAGATGAAAGAAGCTGGTTATCCCAAAATGCTGGTACCTATCTACCAAACTATATGGTGTTACACCCCAATGACAATAACGTTTTTTTTTTATTTCCAGTCTAAAGTAAAATTTATACTTGACTCAGTTCAAAATAAATACAGAATTATCTATGTATATTTTGCTAGCCATTGTAGCGACTGGCTGAAACACTCTCACCCATAATGCAACAGGAAAAATTATGTCTTTAGCAGTTCATTACTCAGTTATGTTGTATATATACAAGCATACAAAAAAGTTCAGGACTGAATTTGTTTTGTATGGTTATGCTTGGAATCGAACCGAGATCTGGCACGTTACATACTCCATGCCTTTAGCATTTAGGGGCAGAAGTATGAAATATATAATCATAATGAAACATTCATGGCTTTAAACACATCTTTCCAGCCCATCTGCTCCTCAGCACTTAGTGGGGCAAAAGAGAGAGGGGAAAATAGGCTGTAAGCATTCCGGAATGAAGAGGGGGACTTCACGAGATGCCATGGACAAGGGTAGATGCTCACTGGGTTCTGTCCATGAAGCGTTTTAAAAACTGTGTCAACTTTTTAAATTTTAAGAGGGGCTGTCAGGAGGTCAAATTCATTACTGGGTTAAATTCAGCATCATCAATAAGTAAAGTTTGTTAACATCTATTAGACCTCAGTGTGTGATTTATTTAGCTGAAAACAGCAAGTTGCCCTTTCCATACAGCCTCAATTTCAATGGTCCAGTAGCATAACCTAACCGTCCTGATGTCACTGCGGTTGTGGATCTCATAAGCCTGATGTAAACCAGTTTCCTGAAAACCCCAGAATCATTCATCAATCAATGATGCTGGAGCCCAACTACCAATGGAAGGTGGTGACTGAGTTTCAGCCATCATAGCAGGAGCAGGATTTGTGTAAGCAGGTGATAGGGGTAGTTCAGAGCAACTTGCCAGACCATCTAGCCAGAGAGTTTAATTACAGTATATTCTTATATACAGTGAAAATATATCAGGAAGATCTACAGCATGACAATGTTACATGAATTTCCTTGCTGAGAATAATAGAATAAGGTCAGAATTGGTTAACATTGTTCTCAGTAATACAGTATATGTCTGCCATGTTGGGCCCCGTATCATACAACAATTATATGTTCTTGAGAAAATGACCACACATTGTATAGTCCAGACTTGGCCTCCATCTGTTTTTATCAGCTTGGACTGCTGAAAGCACCAATGGGAGGTCAGAAGTTTGAGAACATGAAGAATTGGTCCAGTAGCACATCCTTCGCTTCCTGCAAAGGCTTCTAAAAATTGTATGCATCAGGGTTTATGAACCTTGTACAGCGATATGAAAAATAAGGAGTAACAGACAATGACAACAACAGAAACAGACATCCCACAACACTTGTAACATATTTACAAGGCACAATATAAAATTAAGTTCTGAAATTTAGTGCACACTTCTCATGCATCCTGTCCCATCATTTATACTGTGCACTCTACTTTCACATAAAGGACTTGAAAATATAAGAACATCAAGCCTATAAATGTTTGAAATAGACTATCACTCTTATGCAACAGCGATGCAAAGTATCTACCATTTACGTGTAGTACTCACAAGTTAAATAGATGGAAAATGCACAACCATGTTCCAAAACTTTTTCATTGTGATCTTCCCCATACAGAATCCGAACTGAATTTATAGTTAAAACTGTTTACAATTTCTAAATGATTAGCACTTAATGTACTAGACAATCATGTAATTTCACATATATTAAAATGATAATAAGAACAAAATCATGAAAAACATTGTGCTTATCAATTTTGCATTCAACATGCAATATACCACTTACTTGATATTAATTCCTAACATCTTCTCTGCTAGTATACAGGTGGTTATCCTAGCCCTAGGATTTTTTCCAGGAGTAGAACATCTCAAGTGGTTTGTTCACTTTCCAAAATTTGTCATTGACTTGACGCAGAGTCTGATTGCCACTGAGGACCACAAGCTGTCCAGGTGTTGGTGCGATATATATACAGAAAGTGAGAAGTCGGTAAGTTTCTGGGAGTTCTGAATCTAGATCCAGAGTAAGACGCATTGCAAGATATTTGCTCAGGTGATCCACTGCAAAACAAAATTAAGAAATGTATGGATAGTGAAGAGCTAGAGTTCTTAATCTAGGTCTATAGCAGTGGCTCCCAATCTGAGTGGCATGAGAATTCTCAAGGGGCATTAGTGTAATGCTATTAAAAAAAAAAAAACAATTTTTAATGTTAAATTCAGCTGAAATGGGTCTCTTTAGCTGCTTTTCATCATTCCTTCCATAATCATTCGTCTGAATTGTTACTCCAGATATTAAAAAGGAATTAGAGCAATCAGATTTCTCCATCTGTCAGCACTGTTCTGCACAAAATAAAGAATACCATGTATTATTTTGTATGTAGGTAAGTCAATAAGTAAGTTACAAATGGATATAGAACTTAAACAAATAAGAGTACTGATTTGAAAAATGCTTTTATTTCTCAACATAATCTCCCTGTACATTGAGGCACTTGTCCCATCGTTTCACAAGCCCCTGAAAACCAGCAGCATAAAATTCTTTGGGCTGCTGATTTCCCTTTCTACAGCTTCATCGTTGGGTAAATGCTGTAAATGCCGACTCCTATTCTAACATCCTCAGAAAACTTCGTAAGGCCATTCAATGGAAGCGACCAGGACTCCTCACGAAAGGCGTGTTGCTCTTGCATGACAACGCTCGTCCCCATACTGCCAACAAGACAAATGATACGCTGCGAAATTTCAAGTGGGAAGTCCTCGAGCATCCTCCATTAAGCCCTGACCTTGCTCCAAGCGACTTCCATTTGTTCGGCCCTCTTAAACATCATCTTTTGGCTGAACATTTTCCCAATGAAGCTGTAAAAAGGGAAGTCACCGCCTGGTTCCGACAGCAGCCCAAAGAATTTTATGCTGCGGTTTTCAGGGGTTTGTGAAACGATGGGACAAGTGCCTCAATGTACAGGGAGATTATGTTGAGAAATAAAAGCATTTTTCAAATCAGTACTCTTATTTGTTTAAGTTCTATATCCATTTGTAACTTACTTATTGACTTACCCTCATAGTAAAAATTTGAATCCTTTATTCAAATTGTTAGTACAGTTCTAATTATTAGTTCATCATAAACAATAATATAAAAAAAGTGCAAATGGTAACATTCACTTTAGTAAAGGAAACTGTGTAGTAACACGAGATTTTGGTGGAAATCAATAGGGCATCATGTCAAAAAAGTTTGAGAACCACTGACCTATGGTAAAACATGTTGCATACTTGTTTGAAGATAAAACCATCAAGAGTTTTCACAGAATGTTTCATCAGCTCCTGCTTTGTAAGACTGCTTACTCCAAAATATTCATAAGAAAGCAGTATCAGTCTTCAAAAGCACTTGTTGGCTCAAGCCATATTATGGAGACAAGACTAAACAGCACACGTATTCCATTTCTATCAGCCACTGTACATGAATAACATAATGCTGTGTATATGTGAGACAATTCTGATGAAGAGCATTATTTTTATCAAAATTGTGATATGCTCACTTTATGTTGATATTTGAAACTGACACATCATAATCAGACAAAAAGCTATTTCCTTTTTCAACTACCAAAAACCTTGCTGTTTACTGTTATTAAGGAATGCAAATTTGACTCAATTATACTAGTTATTTGAAAAATCAGTCTTCTGGGTTGTAACATCACACTGCTCAGAGAAAGCCTGATGTTTCAGAGAAACATATCACCTCCATCATTTCAGTGAAAGACAAAACCAAGAAAGAAACCAACAGAAGCATGTTGCGAGCTAAGCCCAGCAGTTCAGGGTCATAAAATATCCACAGGAATGAAGGAAATCTATTACAAAAGGCTGTAACAATGCCAAACTGTGTTGCTGAATTTGATACAGCCAGAATCCACATAACACTGTAATTTTAGTCCATGATTTATTTTATCCGTCTTCTAGTGCATACATTCATCTATCCCCTCTTCTCACTCGCACTACATGTTTCGGCACAAAAGTGCCATCTTCAGGTGCTAATCCAATCCACGACAAACTAGTTCATTGCATGCCTTGTCTATACATACTAAAATAACTAAAATATATATTTATCATATTTTAATTAATTTTAACCAGATCATTAAATCTGTTCCTTGCTATACAACTTACATCAGATTAAACACAGAATCCTGGCACTGTATAGGCCTATAAAGATCAAACTTTATAACAAAACACTGTTAAAATAATCACTTTTCTCACACTTTGAAGTGTCCTCCTCACTCAGAAGGGAAATTTTAGGTAGGAGTCAGACTACAGAATAATTAATAATACTTACACCACTGTGGTCTAAGTTCTTTTACCTGATGCATTTGCCGTAGTTTTGATGTATCTAACAGAATTCTCCTTCAGTGCCTTAATCAAGGAATTGTCTCCACCCATTTCTGTTGGATGTGGCTTGAATACTAGTTCAATCTCGTTGATCATTATGGGCTCTGATGGACCATCACCTTCTCCAACAGATGAATCCTGTCCACCTGCTTCAACACTAGAACCTGCAGACTCATTTTCAGAATTATGCACAGACTTTGCCCTTTTTGGCGGTTTTGGATGGAAAGAGCTCTGTACTGGAGGCTGTGAAGATTGAGGTTGTGCACTTGGTTGGGGAATTTGGTTTGTCTGTGGAGGTACAGGTTGTGGTAAAGTTGCTGCTTGTGTTGAAGCGGTGCCAGGAGGTCCACTTAGTGGTGTTGGCACTGGAACAGCTGTGGAGAGAACTGGTGGTGCTGGAACTGTAATGGGTTCACGTATTTCGTTCTGTAGAGGCGTCGGTGTAGATGGTGCACTTGTATTGGGTGTATTGTTAGGTGTTGTCTCTGGTTCAGTAGCTGTTTTTCTTGCTCGCTGCGGCCTGTTCTGTAACTGAATCTTGATACCTTCTGTTATTGAGTTCACTAAAGCTGCCTGACTATGACTCTTGTTCAGCTTCGCCAACACTCGTTCCTGGTGCGCTTCATACTCATCACGACTGGGATAAATTTTAGAAATTAGCAAATCAAAGTTAGGGTCAGGCCTTAAAGATCGTTTAGACACTAACTTTTTCCTGCACGTTGGACACTCCTTATTGCCGGACCGAAGTGCTGTAATGATGCAATCTGAGCAAAACCTATGTAAACACTCTTTAGTTGTCATCGTCTTCTTTAACATGTCAAGACATATGGGGCACATAAGTTCACTGTGAAGGCTTCTTGGAGACACGGCTATTTCTGTGTTATCGGTGATAGCATCTTGTGGAGTTCGGTTCAATTCGTAGAGCGAAAGTTCCCAAGTTTTATTCAGACCCACTTGATCCGCGGAAGCCATGTTGGGTTGTTACTAGAGGTGGCTGGAGGTGGTCAACATCGTCAACATCACGGACATCACGGATAACTAACTACAGATCTGCAACAATAGCGGTTGGCAACGAAGTATGAACCTCTCACAACACAGTGGCCATTTGGCGCTGTTGGTAGGAAACGGTAGGAAATGTACAAGGCACATGAGGTTATGCAGTCATTACCAGGAGCTCAGTCGGATATATGGTCAACAATTATCCCACGTTCAATTCTCACCCCACATTCACAACAGGGAAACAAATAATATGGAGTTTTTAACTATTTATTTTCAACGATGTATTTATATCCGCTTTGCAATATTGCAATCTGTAATCTCTACAAAACGGATATAAATACATCGTACGATGAAGCACCGACCAAACAATTAATGTTAAAACTATACTTCAAGGGCCTCCAAACAGTTTATCATATAAAAATCTAGAATAATACAAGATTGCAACGTTTGACTTCGTGATATAGGTTATCACTTGAATAGTTTTAACCTTATTTTACGAAATAACTCTTGTTTTATATTAAGTTTATATTTCATTGTAATTTTTATACCATGTGTTTTATAATATGATAATTTTCAAGTATCTAGACTACGCAATTGCAGTTCACTAGTGTGTAAACATGATGATCGTGTGTTTGCCTGATGATGGCTATGAATATCCGAAAGATGTAGCAAAGCTAATTTAGCCTTGAACACTGTATTGTTGTGTTGTGACGGCCTTAATAAAAGAGTTGTATATAATAATACAAGAGGATGCATGAAATGAAAATGATTTATTTTCGGTTTTAGATTAATCTTATTGTGTTTTGACCGAAATATTAATGACACTGAGTTAGAGCAGGGGTAAGATGTGAATAATGAAGGACAGGAAAGAGGAAAAAGTGAGTGGAATAATTTTTCTCGGAAGAGACGGAATCAAGAGTGGAGAAGTTTCTTTGTCGTTACGTGAGAATAGGGGCTTACAATATAGGATCTACGAAAAAGAATGCCTAGATTTTGGGCACCTGTAGCTTAGGAACGAAAATAGGTATGAGGTTGTTGTTTGCAGTATTTTATTAATCAATAGAATTTCTTTTATGCAAAAGTGTGAAATTTGTTAGGTTCGAAACACTTTACAGCTTGCGGTATCTAACTCTGCATACACCCTAACTACAATCTACCTCTTGTCCCTTTAACATTTGCCATTGTTGGAGTGATCCGTGTTTTGAGTGCATCCAGCGTATTCACTTTCTGGCTGAACACACATAGCCCCAGAAACGTAATAAGAAGATAATGAGGTGACTACACAATTGGCTCTCTTCTTCCTACACAGGGTGATCCATAAAGTTTTACCCCCACTTAAGGAGGGCATTCCTGAGATAATTTGGAACAAAAAATGTTAATATACTAAGGGTATCCAACTCATAATTAAAGAGATACAGTAATTTGAAAACTGGCGAAAAATCTTTTTTTCTTCGAATGTCAGTCGAAACAAATTAGAAATACAATACAAACACTTTTTAAACCGTTAATGATTTAGGAAAAAGCATTCTAAAACCATTTTTTTCTTTCAATTTCTTAATTTTGCATTGTGCAACATTTTTCATCGATTTTATGTTACAAAATTACATTATTTTCAGCATCCCATTCTGTAAACATACTAATGGTTGCATATCACACCCTTCTATCAATCTGTTTCCTTTAAACTTTAGTGCTTTAAAAGACGACTGGATTTACATAAGATTTTAAAAAATGTCTCCCTGCACATCAACACAATGCGTCGCACGCGTATGAACCGCGCTCGTAGCATTTCGCAGTTCCACACGTTTGTTCCTTATTGTCATCGCCGCGTCCAGAATACAACCATTATTCATTCTATGTTCCATAACCTAACCTATAAAACTGAAGAATGCAGAAGAAGTTCAACAAAGGAAGAATTTAACACGAATTAGTCCTGTTGCTTTCTGCGTTTTGTACGGAGGAACTCTGAATTTGGAACATGTACTTTATGGATTCGTTATCAGTTCAGATAGATACCAAGGACAAGAAAAACGTTCATGTGGTGATAACTTAATGTTTATCACAAGGTGCAAGAAACAAGTTTTAAAAGTAATCCAAATTAGCTCTTGCACGCCTCATCGGTATTGTATTAGAATTCACACTTCGAAAACATTCATTCGACTCTTCGAACAATAAATGTTTTGGCCCAACTGGCTCTCTGAAACATGTGCTAATCACTACTGTAGGTAATTTCATTCTATCAAAGGGATGTCCCCTACTTTTCATGCAAACAGATGTGTCGCAACAAACAGTAACACGTACTGCAAACAACGTGTCTGTTACTTAAGCTGAAGATGAGTTTCTTATATAATGCAACGATCGTCATTCTGTTGCTATGGCCACACTGGGGTTGTCATTGCTACTCTGCGTCATTGTAGGCTCTGTATGTAGTCATGGAACGTGAGTACATTGTTATATTTCAGCCTTCTCTATGTTCATTATTTCGTAATTATTTATTATTAAAGTTTATAACTTCACGTTAATTAAGAACCGAAAGTGATTTTTTAAAAATGCACAGAAAAATTATGAGAGTTTCCTTTTGGGCTAATACTATCTACCGACAACATGCGCATGCACTAATCTTATGCTAAGAGGAATCGAAGTAGTATAACCTAATTTATTTTAATTTCCCAGTAGATTTATGTTATTTTGAAACACTTAATCGTTTTTGAGTTACTAACAATAAAATCATAAATAAAGTGCACCTTAATAAAGGGATATCTAAGTCGATATATAGTGTAAGTTATGGGCTGAAAAAAAGGAATCATGGTTGGATTCCCAGTGGGGGCAGGCCGGCTCTGGGGCCTACCCAATTGCTTATTCAATGGTTACTGGGGGCACTTACCCGAGAGCAAATCTCCCGGATCTTAAAGCTGACAAATCCCTCCAGTACAGTGTCAAGATTAAGGATACATCCTCTACCCACAAAGTTTTAATGTGGAGCTGCTTACTTAAGCAGATGTCAACTTACCTTCATGTTCGGCTTACGCAGTAACAAGAAGCTTTACATGGGCTTTATCATTCTTAGCTAAATTAATAGACGTCATTTGCAAAGTAAGAAAGAACTCTGTGTTCGAAATTCATGTGTGGGCAGTCTGTTAGTTCATTCGTCTGAGCCGTGGTATCAGTGTCTGAAATGTTGAAAAGATTATTTGAGCTCCTATGTGGGTGTCTTTCACGAAAATTTGTCTGACATCCGATTTTAAACAATGTATACTCATATTAAAGTGAGCTTTACTTAAGGCCGTAAGTAAATAAACAGCTCCAAATGAGCTTCATAAATTGAAAACAAACTGCAAAATTTAAAATGAGTCTCAAAACTTATTTACTGAAAATTCTTCCATTTACAAAATATGCAGATCCTCCCTCAGTTGAGGCTGTGCAAAGCAGATCATGCCTATCTTCTTTGTCTTGTTCTACAACAGCAGTTTAGTCACTTGAACGGTCGTAAGCTTGACCGCCGTCAATTTTTGATGCTCCTATATTTCCTGTGTCTGGCTTTGCCTTGTTCAATCTGTCTGTATGTCTGATAAATTGCTGATGGTCCTCGCCAGCACAGCAATTCTTGATCCCGAGTTCCACGGGATTCATGACCATATTCTATTCACTGTCCTCGTTATATCGTATTGGCACAGACCGCAAAACAATGAACATCGCCTACAAGAGCTCCTCTCTTGTCGCGTCCGCCTCTGTTACCGTGGAAACCAGGTGTGATATCACGTACCGGCTGTCGCAGAGAAGTGTTTGTTGTGCCATCGCCTAGCAACGGGCATGTTTGTAGAAAACCAACGGCCGTCCCTTCTGGCTTCCCAATTCTGGCTTTCAGCACACACGTCGTATTATCAACGTGTTCCACCCTGTTTAATTGCCTTCTCGGGCTCTCTTGTCTATTTTTTAAAATTCTGCAATCTCGACATATTTTGTATTCATTAAATTACACTTCATTGCCATTATTTCATACACTACACTGGTCTAAACATAATTCATTTCTTCATAGAAGAATTGTATTTAATATTTAATTCTTTCACTCTTAGTTAATGTCTATATATCTAAAATATAATATACTCGTATATAATGACTATATATGCTTGTCGTGTCAGAGGTGGGCAGAAATCTCAGTATGGTTTGATGACGTTGGCATATCAGCGTTTCACAGCCATGTTATTATTGATCTATGGCAGCCTCTTTCTGAGTGGTGTCTATTATAGTCTGAGTGTGTTCTGGTAACTTTCGTCACGACAATGCACCTGCTCACACGGCACTGTCTGTGAGGGAGTGTTTAGCTAGTGAACAAATAACTGTGCTGGAACATCCCGGTGACTTTTTCCTGTTCCCGAAGATAAAGGAAATATTGAAAGGAAGGCATTTTGATGACATCAGGAGTACTATAACGGCAGCTCTTGAAGTGCATTCCGCAAAATTGGGTACCCTGAAGGCGATCACGGTGATATTAAGCAATGAGATATATAGCACTTCCACAGCGAGGGAGTTCGCGAACTTTATTGTCAGACCACGTATTCCAATTTAAATATATTGAATAATGTAAGGTAATAAAATGAAACTAGTGGGAACTTATACATACTGGTACATATTCTTTTATTTATTATTTCGACAACAGGTGAATTTCCTGCTGGGCATATAGTAAATCCCTGATATTTATCTCTGACCACAGCCAGAGTGGCGCAATGATAATACATCCCCACATTTCAGTAAGGTTTTGGGGAAATAACTGAATGCAAATAAGCGAGTGCGGAGAGGAGGTCTGATTTCTTGTATCCCTTCATTATCCAGTTCTCAGGCCATTAGATACTTTCCTTGGGGTTGTGTAAGACAGACGTCACTACGGCTGTTAAATGGAAGAACATCTGGGGCTCCATCTACTCGTACACTGGAACGCAAGTGGCAACAGCTGAGCTCTTACATGTCGGATGCATTCCAAAGTACAAACTGATCTCGTATTGAAGTAATATGTAACTCCTGGCCGCGCCATAGCTCAAGCGGTTAGTCGCTGGCTTCCCACCGCGGCGGCCCCGGTTCGATTCCGGGTCTTGTCAAGTGGGATTTGTGGTGGAGAAAGTGGCCCGGGGGCAGATTTTATCCGAGTACTTCGGTTTCCCCTGCCAATTTTCATTCCAACAATTGCTCCACAGTCACCCTCACCTATCATCTGGGGCTGGTACAATAGGCCGGAAGTGGCCGCAGTACAAGGGACTTGGTCCTACCCCACTAGCAATAAAAAAAAAATGTAACTCGGTGTAATCTGGTTGAAGTTAACCGACTTTTCGAAGGAATGTACTGCCTCCTTCCTCACTGGGGATCAGTAAGCCCAGCAACAAAATATGGAGTATTTTCTTCTCTCATGGGGTGAGACTGAGTCGACTTGATACTGCGCTCACTGTTTGGACTACTGTACCAGCCCCACATGATGATGATCATTATTGTATAGCAATGGCTGGAATGAAGATTGGCAGGGGAAACCGAAATACTAGTTGAAAATCTGTCTAAATGACACTTTGTCCGTCACAAATCCCACATGACCTTATCTTGGCTCGAGCCCGGGTCGCCGGGGTGGGAAGCAGGCAACTAACCGCCTGAGCTACAGCAAGGCCAAACATGGAGTCGGAATTTTACTTCCTGTTTGAACATTTTTGTGTCCTCGCCAGGATTATTCTTAGCCTATGAATTTGGAAGCAGTATGTTCCTTCGAAACGTCGGTAAATTTCTATCACACTACACGGAGCCATATCTCAGAAAATCTTATTATTCAGTCTAGACTATTATTTGTAGGTCACCACTTATTTTGTTGCTCTGTCTTATAGGAATCAGTAAAGCTTAAAAGTGAATTGATGCTAATACTTTGTATAAACAGTGTGTATACGCAAATACACTCATATGTAGACTACATGCAACTACATAGCTACATGCACAGCTAAAAATTCGCGATCCTGTATGTCGTGAGGCACGGAGATGTATTTTAGTGTTCCGTCGCGTGGAAAATGTTGACGAAAAAAAATTGCCTCTTGGACAAATGAGAAGAATGTTATCATTCTTTGGTGTTGCTGACTTTTCCATTGTAAGTTACAAACCAAACAGCTGACGTACATTACTGTGTGATCATGGGTAAATGGGGGGTAAAGTTACGTAACAATTAAATTACTTCTAAAAAAAATTTGTTTGTAATTAGGTATAGAATTTGCACTGCTGCTTTCACAATAGATGAGTTGGACTCGTGCGTAAGAAAAGAGCGCTTCTGTCTCATGCACTTGTTTGTCATCACCAGCTCATGCAAGCATCTTCGTTAACAAACAACATACGCAACACCATTCATTAATATTTGCTTTCAGAAGACCGTTATTTAACCTTACCACACGAGGTTTGAAGGAGTTCTGTCAGCGTTGTTCAGCCGGATGCCAGACATATTCACAGAAGCAGTAATTACACTTCTGGCGAAGAGGGTGATCAACAATAATTCGGGAATAGAAATCTTTATTTATGGTGCATTTAACGACATTGTCGGTAGCTCAGACTATTTGCGTCAGACGGTGGGATGACTAGTGAACAATAAATTGTTAAAGTTGTGGAAAGAAGCTATCATAGCCTTGTTTGAAGTACCATCACGGAATTTCCTGGAGGAATTTGCTAAAATCACGAAAAACTTCTGGGTATCTGAACCGTGGACCAAAATTTGACCGGAGGAACACGAATTAGTAGTGCTACCCACTTTACAAGACCCATTGCTAGGCAACAGATTCCTGACACACACCAATGGACTAGCTGGGAAGCGGTGTTCTCTACGCGGTCGTTGCGACAGCTGCTTGTCGCAACAATAGAAGAGCTGTTGGGAGCGGTATTTTCTGTGTGGTCCGTGCCGATGTATTATAAGTAGGACAAGTCTAGACTTTAGTTGTGAGAAAGTCGGCGGCAAGTAAGGACGTGAACGCGGAACTGAAGAAGCTATGACTTTTGAAGCCGTTGCCAAGCAAAAACCGATGAAGATGCAGCAGACTGAGAAGACTTTTTTTATTGCTAGTGGGGTGGGACTACGTCCCTTGTACTGCGGCCACTTTTGGCCTATTGTACCAGCCCTAGATGATAGGTGAGGGTGATGTGGAGCAATTGCTGGAATGAAGATTGGCAGGGGAAACCGAAGTACTCGGAGAAAACCTGCCCCTGTGCCACTTTGTCCATCACAAATCCCACTTGACCAGACCCGGGATCAAACTCGGGTCGCCGCGGTGGGAAGCCAGAGACTAACCACTTGAGCTATGGCGCGGCCCTGAGAAGACTTAGAGAATTGTAGAGTTTGTGAATTACCGACAGCGCTATAGTTATTTGTAGTTACGATCTATAAGGGTTCAATAAATCCATTTACCAATCTAAACTCAGTCTATAATCACTCCATCACATAACAATATTGACATTTTTATCGAAATGCTAGACAATTGTGTGTATAATGTGTCAATTTTAAGCGGGATCACATGCTCAGAGCCTAGTTATCTCAGCATGTCTGTCTGTCCGTCTGTCTATACACCTGAAACAATTCCAGGACATCTTCGTGGAATTTGATTCTGGAGAATCGTACGGAAACCAATCGAACAACTCCAGTCTCCATCAAGACTGGAAAGGTTTAACGCAACTTTACACGGAAGCCTGGACATCCTTCTACTCCTGTCGAACTAAATATTCATCTGACAGAAAAGTGTTTCGAAGGAAAGCTGTGGAGAAGAATAAAACACGTGTTTCATATACAGCGAGCTGTATCCGTGAGTGTTACGATTCTCAGCGTAATTATGAGAACATATATGAATTTTCATATTAGGCAATCGGCTGTGGCGTTCAGCACACAACCCCACTTAAGAAGAAGAAGAAGAAGAAGAAGAAGGGGAAAAAAGTAAAGATATCCCACAGATTGAATGCTACGTAAAATTAGCGCCAAGGCGGCTGAGACACTAAGTGGTTTTCCGTAAAATTCCTTCTTCAGCTCCCCTGTCTGCCTTCATGACTTAGTGTTGAAGTTAAGAATATTTCTCTCCTAAGATTTCGTCATTTAGTGCTGAGATTATGAGTGCTCGTGTTTCAATTCCACGCCTCCATACGCTTTTGAGTTACAGTGCCTAGACGCAGGGATAAGTTTAATGACTTATGACAATATTTTTTGTCTTTGTGGCAGTAAATATGCGGGCTGCTCACCAGTGAAGACTACGGCTGGAAACCTGTTAAGTTATGAGCTTCTGAAAAACTTGACAGATCCATGTAGATACAACAAAATGAACCCTCCTGGACCTCTAAACATCAGTACCAGAATGTACATTTATAACTCACAAGCAGTTAACAATGTGGTGAGAATATCTTGAAGCTTTTATCTTCTGTAGTTATGGACGGGAGAATGCGATTTTTATTCGTAGTACTGGTTTCTTTAACAGCGCTTTCAGTTACTGAATATGTGATCGAATGGAGGATGATTAATTAATAATGAATTTGGAAAGGGTTTTAAAGTACTAATTCAGAATTATACCGAAGGAATTGAGGAAAACCACGACAAACCTCAGTCAGAGTATCTGATTTCCGGATAGAGATTTGAAACTGGGGCCTATCGAAGATAAATCAGTTGTGCAGGAAGCTGCTATTAAGGAACTTTTTGTTGAAGTGTAGTGCAAAATATGAGCTGGGTTGAGCTAGCCCAGGAAAGAGTCTTATGGGGTATTTTTGTGAACATGTCGATTCATTCCAGATTTCATAAGAGAGGAGAATTCGTTCACTGAAGACTCTACACCTTTCACTAACGACTAGTTTAGCGCAACGGTAATTTCGTAGACTTGTATTTTGGAGATGCTCGGTTCGAATCTCTGTCTGGACAGTGGCTATACTGACTGCGGTTTTCGCGCTATTCCTGTTTACTTTAGGCAACTGAAGTGATGGTATTTGATCAGACCATGACCGTGTTCTTCCAGATCTTTTGCAAAACGTCTTTTATCTATAATTCTACTATTCCAGATACTAACAGCGTCATTAAATAATAAACCTAATTGTCTGTACCGGGGAACGCGGTAGCATAGTTGGTGGAGGGGCTATGCTACAAGCCGGAAGGTCGCGGGTTCAAGTCCCGATGAGGTCATTGGACTTTTTCAATTGACCTAAACCTTCCAGCCGCACTATGGCCCTGGGGTCGACTCAGCCTCTAACAGAAATGAGTATCAGGAATTAATTAAATAATTTTCTTTGGGAATAAAGCGCGGCCGGCGCGTGAGGCTGACAACCTCACCGCCATCTTTGAGCCGATTGTCTAGATAATGTGGGACCTTCAATGTCTTACAACCCTATGGGCCTTCACGGCCTGGTACAGGGATAGCTTTACTTTTTTACTTTTTATTTGCCTGTACCATAAAATATTTGTAGTTTATAACTAATTGTATTATTTTGGTATAGTACAAATCAGGGAAACAGTGGTGAAAGAAACATACGTTTATCGGTGATGACTGATAGGGCATAAACACAAAACTGTTAAAGAGAAAGAATATCATAATCTTATACAGGATACTTGCCGGAGCAAGGAATAAAGTGAGGTGAATGGACGAAGCTGCTTTCATTTGTTTCTGTTTCCAACAACATATTTTTATTTTTGTTCGAAAGGGATATTGGATGACAGAATTTGCTTTTGAATGGTAAGACAAGCCAAATGTCTGAGCTTCTTTACGAACCTCTGAATGAGTAAATTTCATATTGCAAATTTTTCTGTGTTATTTGAGAATCATCTGTCTGCAATTCTTTCCATTCTCCTTCTACTTCCTTCTTCTTAATTAATACACTGATATAGACATTTTTGTTTCTTAGCGAGTATATGTATGTGGTATATATACATATATAAACAGACCCATCATATATGAGTACACTCATTTTTTTTTACAGAAAGTGTATCATTTATATTCTAATTATTTGTTTCTTGTGCAATATGCTGATATTAGCGTTACAACCTTCATCTACTACTTCAATTTGAATACCGGGACCCCCGACTAGCCTATCATTCTATCTCTCGAAATGTGTATGAAATAATTGGTGGGGAGGATCTCCAAGAAATGATATGGACACCTCGCATTTATCTGGGGAATGATCACAGTTCTACAGTGATGGGATCACTGAAAAAAGACATCAGTGTCTCAGTATATCCTGATGGCACAATTATCTTCTCACAGAGGTAAGATACTAAACCAATGTAGCAAATTTCATTTAATCTTATGTGACTTTAATTATCAAAATTATTTATTTCGGTTCTTATATAATTATATAAGAATATATATATATGTATATTATAATATACAAAGAACACATAATAATAATATACTGATTTGTTGAAAAATGTGCGAAACATTATCTCATACATTCTTATATTTCTATGATAGAAATTTTGTATATCAAATTTAATTGAAATCTGTCAGTGGACTTAATTTAGGAAATTAATGAAGTGATCCTTGAAATAAATCAAAGAAAATGAAAAACAGGAAGACAAACAAATATGACAAAAGTAAGAGTTATAGGTAATTTTATCCCTGTGCTTAACTAATTAAGCACTATGCCATGAAGGTATATGGGGGAGAGGATATAAACTAAATGGTGCTTCCAAATTTTTTAAACACGTTTTAAATCGTTCACATGTTTTGAACTTCTTAAACTGTCAATCCAATTGCTGTACTTTATACAAATTAACTTTTTTATGATAGTTATGAAATGTCAACATACTCATTTAAGTGGATAAATGTACCATACATTAATTTTCAACTGTGTTAAGACCATATAATATAGCACATCAATATAAGATGGCTAGGGAGCTGTTTTTATGAAATGCAATATGATAATCTTTTTTATTCCAGGCTAAAAACAGCATTCACCTGCTGGATGAAGCTCCATAAATTTCCTTTTGATGAGCAGCATTGTTCTCTCATGATAGAGAGTTGTACGTAATAACTGAGCTTCTTACCTCCTAGGTTTAGATTTAATCTATTTTGAGTCAGATAGATGAGTGGCACTGTGTTATGTCCATGCCACTGCAACAGAATGAAAGTTATGAAAGTATCCTTATGTTTTGAATGTTTTCTCTTTGCTATTCAAAATGGCATGGAATGGTACTATTACATAAAATGGCTTAGGGTTCAGAAGCAGTGTCAGTATTAATTTATGTTATATTCTGTCATGTGCCTCTCATTGCCTGACATATTAGTAGAAAAGGCAGCAAGTAGTTAACTCTTGACTGTGCAATTTAAATTCACTCTAACCTGTCACTGTCAGTTCATTGAAATCTCATCCATATCGATATTTTAGTACTTTACTCGTAGTTAGTTAGTTAGTTATTAGAGAGGGTGGGTTTCACCATGCACTTAGACCTGTAGTGGTCCACTGTGCTTCCCTCTATGATTTCTACCAGCCTCTATATCCTGCCAGTATTGGTGCTTACCATCAGTCCCGCCCAGCCAGCGAGACCGGCTCTACTGGCTGAGAAGTATCTATAATGCTTCCCCCATCTACCGGAGGTATTAGTGACTGCTGTCAGGCGGCAAACGTCCGCAATTTTGCTCAGTGACCTCCTTTGGAGGTATGAGGTTCTTTTACGTGCCGTAAAGCTACGACACGGGACCCACGGCTTAAAGTCCCTCCTGGAGAACTTGTTCCCTGAATTTTTCCGCCCTTAAAAATTCGACGACCTCCGCCGGGTATTTGAACCCGCGTACTACGAGTCATGAGGTGGGAACGTTACCTCAAGGCTACGGAGGCCGCTTATTTTAGTACTTTAAGCATATCAGGTGCAATGTAACTTTATTACATTGCATTATTGCAAGTACAGCAAAGGTTAATACTGTCCACATCAATTTTCCTGATCCCTAAATTCACTTGCTCTGATGTGGGAAGGAACTCAATATGGTCTCACAAGTAACCTGGTGTGGTGTAACAGGTATCCACCTATGAGAAAACATTGACCCTGAGCTTTATATTCTGTCTACATACATCAACAAAGCATATTTTCTTTTGAATTATAAAACAGACCGGTGTAGAACCACAGCATCCTAGCAGCTGCCATTTCTCTCCCCCAGAACCCCTCAATAGAGCTCAAGAAAACTTATGTGGACAGTGCACATGCATGCACCAACAACACAATTATGAATCATATAAAATAAATTAGTTACATTTTAACATAAGAATGTACATCACAGAACTAATTTCTGACTTAAAAACCATACATCATAATAGTAACTAGAGAGGTATGATGTAATCATTTTTATTTCGTAACGCTTTTTAATGTATTTGTAATAATTTATGAGAAATTTATAATTTTGTGCAATATCTGAGTTTAAATACAACACAAAACACACTGCCATATTGGCCAATATTTACAAATTGATAGAAATATTGTATTTTAGTCTGATAGCGATCAACTAGTTCGAAATGTGTAACTAAGTCACTGTATATAATTAAAAATGATTTAAAAGGTAAAGCTATTCGTATAACAGGCCATAGAGGCCCATAGGGTTGTGAGACATCGAGGCTCTACATTTTCTAGACAGCTCACAGACGGCAGTAAGGTTGTCAGCCTTACATGCCAGGCGACTTTTACCCCCTGGAAGATTCTTGGTACTCATTTCTGTCAGAGGCTGATTCAACCCCGGGGACATAATGCAGCTGGAAGGGTTAGAGAAATTGAAATAATCCAGTGACCCCATTGGGAATTGAACCCATGACCAATAATGATTGCATTGGTTTTGTTAATAGTGCATAAATATCCATTAAATTCAGAAAGAACATTATGATGCTCATGTACAATACTAAACAGCAAACTGTTAAATATAATGAAAGTGTTTTATACTTCATTCAGCAAATTAAGGCTAATTAGCTCCACACACATATTTCCCAAAAGTATGTAGATATTTTATTTTACTAAGAGCTGCTTTTCTTGAAAACTAAAACAGTGCATGCAACATTATAGCTCATCATGATACATACAGTTACTATAGGATTCTGACAACGGTGTATAACACATAGAGATATTGGGTTTTTGGACTTTATCCATCGTCCTGGTTTTTATTAGTTATCTTAAAAACCAGGAGGATGGATAAAGCCCGAAAACCCAATATCTCTGTATGATACATACAGTTAATTCTGTACTGTAGAGAGTTGTAATCTAGTGGTCAGTACCTGGGATGTCCCATGTTTGAATCTCATGTTGGACACTGAGCATCCGGTGAAAGTTTTGTGGTTTACTTCTGTCTCTAGGCAAATGCTGGAATGGTACATACCTTCAAATAGACCACAGTGGTGTTCTCCCACATGCTTCACACTTCATTAGTCATGATCAAAATGTTATCTGCAATTTCAATTTAGAGGATACTCTCCATTACAGGGGTATATAATGCCAACGAGCTGGTTTTGAAGTGGGTGGATGATAATCCAGTGTCAATAACTCCAAACATACACATGTCCGAATACTACATTTCAAGTATGTGGAACAGCACAAGCAAAGAAAGTTCATTTCAGAACACCAATTTCTATGACTATAGACACTCCGGTAAGTCAAAATGTTAAAGCACAATAGATCATTGAAGGTTACAGTGCAGGGGCAGGTTTTTATGGCCCACCCCTTACATACATACAAGTTAAATTGTTATCTGTAACAGACATAATGATATATATTCCCAAGTATTCTGAAACTAGATGTAAGACATCAACATCACATTATTTGAGACAAGGAACTTTTAACACGTGAAAGATATATATAATAAAACTCTGACATAGTTTGTACTGTATTTCATGAATGTTTAATCCTTTCACACAGCAGCACATACTGGATTTAAAAGAGCATTACCGTATTACTTAATATGCTGCTGCAAAATGCAGTGTTTCACTACTTAGGTTAGCTCAGTGGTAATGATCAATGCACTTGGTTAATAATGCCACTGGGAATCTGGCCAGTATCCTGTTAGGCACATACCAGGATAGCACCTTGAAGTGGGTTAGTCCAAATGACTGTTGAAAATGAATATCATGACTTTCAGTGTTCTATAACCTACAAGCCAATAAGTTTGCTACATTATTCCATCTTGTAATTTACTTATTAGTAGTTGCAGAGTGTTCCAGCCTTAAACAGACATAATTTGATATTTATGAGTTATGAATGGGAATGGATATTGTACTCAGGTATTTTTCTAATTTTGATCATTTATTCTAAAATATCATAATCCCAACTTTGTTTACACTAGTTTAGTACACTGTAGTTACCAGTACTGAAATAAATTATCAGCATGAAATAGAAGGAATGGACACTAACTGATGATAATCTGTATTAATTAATTCGATATGTTTTAACAACATTATCATGGCAGACAGGTATGCCTCTCAGACTTGATAAAATTAAAGAGAGAAAAAGACAATTTTGTAAGGAATATGATCTGAATATTATATAATTATTGCACTGAATACAAATATGATGTATTGTCTTAGTTGGCAGTTCTAGTGCCCTAATGGTGACATTTCATCTTCGTCGTCAAGTGGGATACTACATAATGGACTACTATGTTCCTAGTACGCTGTTGGTTATCATCTCATGGGTCTCATTTTGGCTGGATGCAAATGCCATCTCTGGTCGTATAAACCTTGGTCAGTGTTATCTGATTGTAGTTTGCATGATATCAAGAAATATTCCTATATAGTTTTCATGTGAATTACAACTTATTCCACAAAGTAGAGTCCTTGAAAAACAGTTAGTCTCATATATCCATATATGTAGTCCATATATCCATTCAGGTAAAAATACATAAATTAAATGATTTAAATTTACACACTTATGACCAATTATCTTTCCTTCTTTCTTTCCTTATTTCATTTTCCCATAAATCAAAATAAATTGGCCTAGGACTCGTCATATCACAATACTATCAGCAAAAAACATTTACAGGCAATTCTACAGGTAAACAATACATACAGTATAAATCATGTTTATCAAAACGAAAAGCTGCATAAAAATCAAGACAAAAGATTACACCAACCACGCAAAAAACTGTATCAGATCAGCAGTCAGATTATAAATTATTTGTAAGAAGCAAGGTTTTCCATTATTCTCCAATCTAGATATTCCCACAATGAGTAAAAGGAGCCTGCACCAGATGAACTGAGATCTCATTTTTATGACATATTTCCTTAAGAATCAATTTGATATTTTCACGCCACCTATGCCCTGTTAAATGTCCTCATGATACATTTTTTCATCCATCTTGATTCAATCAGGCTAATAATAATTACAAATTATTGTGCTCCTCATTATGTAATTTTCTCCATCCTCTTGTTATTTTCTCTTCCCTTAGGTCCAAATATTTGCTCAAAATCCTAAGTAGAATCATTTAGTCTAATGTTGCACCTAAAAATTCAGTCTATCATTGTAAGTGTAAGAGTGACATAGAATGATCTGGGATCTGTCACAAAGCAAAATTCATGATAATTCAGTTGTCTGAACATCTATCAAGCCAACAGGTACATCTAATTTGGAAAAAGTCAAATTTTGTTGTTAATGTCTATTTCCGTTCAATTAGATTGATATTGTTGCCACTGTGCATCTTTATCTGTAAACATGTATAAGCCAAAGGCTAGTCAGAATGGCCAAATGATCTCCACCAAAAGAAAGTTCTGGAAGTAGTCGTGGGATTGTTCACAAAGCAACACTGCATTCTTGACCAATGTCACACAGAAATTTATGTAATTAACAGGATATACATACAGTGAAATTGTGATGCAATGTACATAAGAATGGATTGATTTTTTGAACTTTTCTGTAAATAATAACTCTTATAACAGTAGTAATAATATATTTCTAGGCATTAGCACCATGTTGACATTCATCACTCTCTCATCCCAGACTGGCAGCGCAATGCCTAAAGTATCGTACAGTATGGCAAGTGAAGTGTGGTTCATTGTTTGCACAACGTTCATCATTGGATCACTGGTAGAATTTGCTTTTGTCAACACTATTTGGAGAAGAAGGTAAACACCTGAAATTAGTAAACAGAATATGTATATGGCGAAAAAACTGTAAAGGCATACTCCAATATGGAAAAAAACATTCATTTTCAAATGCTTTGTTTGTAGTTTTGCATATATTGCTGGCCTTGATGTTCCTTTTTTATACTGTTGGAAACTAATAAGCAACACACTTATGACACTTTGTAGAGACATCAGTTCTTTCTTCTTTATATATCATTAATATATAGGAAACTGTTTCAAATAAATTTTGCAGACCTTATTTATTTTATTTCATGTATTGCTTATAAATTTTTGTATAGTGACCTCTTTTTGGAAAAAGAGGATTCTTTTCAATAAAAACTGCAAACTGAACAGATTAAATAAACATTTACTTTTTTTTTAAACGTGCCATCCATAATAAACATTTATTTCAGGTCAAATGTGGAACTTAAGAAGGTATCTGGCAAGTACATTTTGAAGTCCACACTAACACCAAAATTAGCAAGGAAGGAGTTGAAGGAGCATACATCTGCAGTCCAACATTCAGTATTCACTCTTACTGAACTTCCTTCGACAAGTAGCAGTCTGCCTGCTTCACTTATAACACAGGTTTGTAACCTGCTGCAAACACGATAAATTTAACTTGACTTACATATACACTGTCCATGAGGCCTAGGCCTAGAGGCTATTATTATTAGACGTACAGTAAGGAACAGATAGGTAATTTATTCATAGAAACTAATTTTACTTATCTTGTTTATTATAAACACATATTTTATAATTGTTAGAAATAAGAAATGTTAACTTACTAAACTATTTATCAGGGCAGTAGGTCTCAGCGTTTTCTGATTCATGGTCTAGTAACGTAGATTTCCTGATGACAGATTGCTTGTCTCTCACATTTTGCAGTGCAAATTACAGTGTACTGATTTAATTGTTATTGGCATGCCTAAGCATATGCCTTTATATTGCAAAAACAAAGACCTTATGCTGTGAAAAAAAATCACAGAAACATCATTGAATTGAATTGAATTGAATTTATTTACATTCCATAAATCCAGTACAGGTGAGACACCATAGGATATGGAACAAGTCAAGTTAGAATACATAGTAGCTATACAATAATACAGTAATATTGCAATTAAATGAGGTAAACTTATAATACTTATAATACACATTAAACAATGATCAAGAAATTTATCAAGATTTATAATGGACTAAAATAAAATAAAATTTCCATTAAGACATTCATTCATTACTCATTCCATTAATCAAGTGCGTCAAATTAAAATGCATATAAAAGAGACAATCAATAAAAAAGAGACAAATAAAACAGGATAATTACATAATTTGTAGTTTATGACATATTTCTATATCAGTTCATTTGTTGTCACAATCTGTGTGTTCTCTTACATTACACATTATGATCACCCACATCGAATATTCTGATTTAAATATTATGTACAAGGGCCCATGAAATAATTTACATTGTTAGATGTATCAATCAATCAATATCAATAGAGCACCGGTTCCCCATTCTGAGGAGTATAGTGACTGAACTCAAAAGACTGAATTCTCTCTTTTATCAATGGTCATGTCATTAAATGGAGCAAAAGGTAGATTAGAAAAGAGTAGTTATGATCAGCACACACTATTTAGTTTCTATAAGAAAATGAATGTATGTACATTAAAATGCTAATTAAAAATTGTGGATTTGTATAATTAAATGCGCAGACTGGCAACTGGTTTTCAAACACATTTGAGAAACTTTGGTTTAGTAAGACAAAACTGTGATCATGGCTATACTTAAGGATAATTGACAGGGAATTATGCAAAGAATGCCTGTGGTAAAGAAACTTGAGCAGAGGAGAGAAGTGACAAACTGAAAGGACCAAAATTTATATTAATAAAGACAAAATAATAGATTGAAGATATTTACACTTGAGGAACTTAATAATTTTTCTTTCTCACTTCATTTCTCTCTTCTTGATTTTACTTCATATTTTCAGTTTTACACAGGTCACCTAATAACAAAGTCTCTCCTCCTGTCTCTGCCTTCCCAAAACTCCTCAGTTTTTTTTTTCCCCTTGTTCTTAGTATCATCCTCATGGTATCTTTCCTAGCCTTTTTTTCCCCCATATTGACTTTGGTCTACATTTTGGATGTTCTTTCAGTTTCATACTTAACACCTTTGGGGTTCTCCTATTGTTCATTCTCAGAACATGCCATACCACCTTATCTTTAAATATTCTATAAATTTTGTTCTTATTCTCTATCCTGGATGTCTTTCTATACTTCTTAAAAGTATCACCTGTGCTGCTATTATTCTATTAATATCTGCCTTTGTCATTGCTCATGTTTTTTCTCTATACATTATATTTTTCTTGTCTTTGCCAGTTCCAATTTCCAAAGTATATCCAAAACTAACTGACACAATTTTCCTGTACATTTTATTCTTTCTGAGATTTCTTTTGTAGCCTTCTCTTTGCAAGTATATTACTTCCTAAGTACTGAAAGCTCTCCATTTCTGTATTTCATAATTATTATGACTTATCTTTTCCATATTTTCTGTCCTTGGGCTTATTTCCTTAACCATACACTGAACCCAACTGACATGTACTCCAAAAATTTTAAACACTGTAGGAAACCAATAGTAGTTCTCTTCAGAATTGTTTTATTCAATTTAAAAGTGGCAAATAAATGAAAAAGGATTAACTAGGTGGACATCTGACATGCACACGTGACATGAGGAATGCATGAAGAATTACGCTTGGAGAACCTCAAAGGAGACTACATGGCTACCTTGACATAGTCAAGAAGTTATCAACACCACCTAGCAATCAAGAGTCAACCCCTTACAGCCCCATTCATGTAGCAATCTTTTAAAAAGTTCTCCTTCCATACCTTGATCCATGTGATTTGCAATACTTTAGTAGTTTCTTGCCATGCTGTTGACATTATGAATCCAGTTTGTTTAATATTTTGAAATATTATTCAATATTAATTTTGTGTTAAGTTAATTGAATATATCCTAATTTCTTGTGTGGTCCCTCCAAGTGGACTTTACTGTTTATCTCATGAATTTTATTTCATCAGCTGTAATCAGAAGAGAAGTAATATTAAAACTGATCTTAGAGTTCAAGGTTATGGACTGACTCATCTCATTCAGAACAGAGTCTATTGGCAGGCTGCTATGAACACTGTAATAAACCTAGAGTTTTTATCGTTAACTGAGCAATCATTCAAAAGCTGTGTGTAGTTAGTTGCTAAGTTGGCTTGTGAATCTTACTTATAAGATCATACTTATCCAGTTGATGACTTTAAACCAAATTGATCTCCGATCCTGAAATCAAATTTAAGATTGTTTCAGAATATTTTTTTCCTACATAAGTGACTGAGTTATTGGATAATGTAGCAAGATGGGAAATGTCTGCTAAATAACACAACATATCTATTTCAACAGATTCCCTTTAGATTCTTGGCTCTCCCCCCAATGCTGGAGGATGATGATGAAGAGCAGGAACAAGTACGAGACTTCCCACTTGATAGCAACAACGCCAAAAAATGCAGAACTGTAATATTTACTTCTGATGACGAAAATCCAACCAATGGAGGTTTCACTACTATGACACCACAGCAAATTGCAAAGTGGATTGATGCAAGAAGCAGAGTCATCTTCCCTGTTTCATTTTTAATTTTTAATACACTGTACTGGGGTGTATTTTCTTGGATGTGAGAGCAGAAAAATGATATGGATGTCAGTTCCTGAATAGGTGTCCTTACTTTCTTCCCACTCTCTTTATGTGACTGGTTCAAATCTCAGCAAAGGACAAACTATCATGTTCCTCTTTGTGATTCTCCTCAATTCCTCCAGACAAATGCCATGATAGTATCTCAAATGAGGCCACTTTAATTCTAATTCATTATTAAGTAATAACCATATTATTTGAAGTTATATAATCTGAGTAATTGGAAGCTTTGTTAAATAAGCCATAAATAAATAAATACAAAGTATAGGATTGTCATGAAACTCTTACATAGTGTTAAAGAAGTTTTTGAAACTAAACACTGACTGAAATATATACAGCTTGATTACTTGGAGATTTTGAGCTAAAAAAAGTGGAAGGAAGTTAAGGATTACTTAGAGAGAGTGAAACAGTGTGGTCTCATGTCATTAATAGGAGAGGGAACAGAAGATAAAGTGCAGTGAAGGAAGTGAAACAATGTGTTCTTATGTAAGAGGTAAGAGAAGATAAAGGGTACTGGGACACTAAACAATGTACTATGATGTCATTAATGGAAGAGGGAACAGAAGGAGAATTGTGGAGGAAGTAAAATGATATGCTCTGAGGTCATTAATGGTATATGGCATAGGAGATGGAAGGTAATGGGGTGGTGGGAAAGAATGTGCCTTTATGTCGTTAAATTGAGGAAGGCACAGAAGAATAAAGAGGAAAGCAGAACAGTGTGCTCTAATGTTGGTTAATGGAAGAAAGGATGGAAAATGAAGAGCAGTAAGGCAAAGCAAAACAATGTACTGATTTTGCATAATGGGAGATCTGGCAGTTGTGTGATAGGTCCTCTGTTACTTACTGTGATTTTATTCCTCATTTTTCCTTTGGCACAGAACCATGTTGAATGTTGAATGACAGAATGACATACATCTGTCATTTCAATGTATATCATTATCTATAGTACTTATGAATATTAGGACTGTAAACATATTATATTCTATCAATTAATACAAGACTACTTTACGTACTTATGTTATTAAAATTACATGTACAATTTGAGTCATTTTGTAACTATTACATGTGTAACTTGTTGATTTTTTTTGTGTCGTGCTTGCATATCACTTAACAGCCATTGGATGAGAAAAAACTTTTTATTATAATATAAAACAAAAGAAATAAATATAGGTCACTATTGCCAACTTGAACATTTTTATATTACTAGATTCTCAACATAACTGTATAGTAAAGTTTATTGATGGAAGTAGAGTGAACTTTATTGTAATGGTTATTCCCTGTTTTCTGCCATACTTGAGATTTACCATTTGTTATATGTAGCGCTTCTCTTCCTTCTTCCAACTCAAGAATTACATGCTACAGAGGCATTATAAAGTTCTTATGTTTTAAAACTGATCTTGTCATCTGCTCCTGAGGTTTCCCACATCTGTTTCTTTTTGCCTTACATAAGCAGACTGATATTAGTAACTGCTATCTTGCATTTGTTTCATGTTGTTTCAAGTTATTCAATATATCTTTACTGTCACGACGTTCTCAGTTTGCAGTGAATCTCAGTTTCTTTATTTGGTCTTCTATCTCCTAATTTTACTCCTATCCATAATTTAATACATCTCATATGAGCAGCTTTTATTCTCTTTTTCCGCTTTTTCTCCTAACACGAAAGTTAACTTGCAAAAGTTAAATTTCGCTTATCTGTTATATTATTTAGTTGTAACTGAAAGGATCTTCTCATTTTGTTTTTAAAATCTGTCTTCCTTCTAGTATTACACAATCTTCCTTCTCTACCTTCATTTAGTTTATCAGATATTTTACATCAAATTTGTTTAATGTAACATAAATATTTATAATTATTTTCATTCTTGCAAGTATTTTCGCTATATACCCATTCCTTTAGATGTTTGCCTGAAATTTTATTTTACTCAACTCCACTGCTTTGTTTAACCCTCTCTGTAAGTTAATTTCTGATACAAGCAAAATTGGTTATCAGCATTTGTCAGATGAGTGATATCCTGTTCATCTGAAATCTTAATTCTTCAATGTTCTGCCTGCTATTACACTGATTACCATAAAGTCCATTGAAAATTTAATGGAAATTTAGTGAAAACAACGACTATCAAAAATACTTAATGAAATAACTTGAGAAGTTCTGAAAAGGCATCTACGTTTATACTAACATAACAAACTCAACAGAATGACAATATGCACGAAGTGATGCTGCTATATAAAGGAAACGATTCTGGTAAAGATTCCCTGTAAGAAAAATGACTTATTCAAAGGTAACTAAGCTCAATATCTTAAGAAGTTCTCAAAAGAGAAGTATATTTATATGAAGCTACTAAATTTAATAGAGTAACAATATGCACAAAGCAGTGATATTGTCTAGAAGCAAAAGTCCCTATAACAACAAAGTTTTTCAAAAATACTTACATCTCTTTGCTTTCAGTTTCCTTCAGTCACAGCTTTACTAATCATTTCAGTTGGTGGTCAGGTGATTTGGCCCTCAGATATAAAATAAACCCTGACAAACACTTTGTAATTCTCTACAACCAAATTCTCAAATGTTTTCAAAGTACATTTTGTAATGGGCAGAAACCTTGAAATGAACAGTGCCAATCTATAGCTACAGTTTCCATATTTAACTTTTCCATTGATCTACTCTAATAGTTTTGACTGCACATATTATATTTTTATTAAGGTTATGTCTTTCTTTATTTGTGTATGAATGTTCTCTGTTTGAAGAATGAATTGTAAAACTCTTATTCCTATCCTTATTATATTATATTCTGACGCTATTATGCTTCATGGTGCTGGATGTTTCTTCTCGCTTGACTGGAATTTATAGCAGAGCCGCACAGTGAAGAAATAGACGATCTCAACCAAACTTAGGATGCTGAAACCCAAGTAGAGCCCAAGAAGTCCTCCACAGCTTGCTGAAAATATGAACCAATGTATAAGGTAGAAATTATTTTAAATATAAAACATAAGTTTATCATAAATACATACAAATATGCATGCACTGCTCTGAAAGCAAACCTTGGCAACCATATCATGGAGGAGGGTTACGTGTACAGCAATGGCAAACAGGGCAATGGTGCACTTAAGACAAGGTGCGAGGTATTGTGCTGAAGGCTGCATGACACTGGGGTGGAAATGAGCCAGAGCCAAGAACTATTCCCTCAGGGCACAAGGTAGCATCTTCTATTATCTCTGCCTCACAACCAAGTGGGGCACTGTGAGCTTGCAGGTATCCATTAATCATGGAATCATTTACAGTGGCCAAGAAAACAACGAACCATTTCCTAGCAACATGGGGGGAGGGATGCATAGACATACAGCAAGGCAATCTCCAAAGCCTACTTTTATATTTTGAAAATAAGGGCATTAGACTAAAACAGGCCATATAAATTCAACATCTAGTAGGGAGGCTCCTAGAACAAAAATAGTTTGAGACTTTTTATTGGGGGGCTGGGAGCTCTTGTGCATCATTAAGGTGCTGGAACTACCAGTGAACCAGCAGATGAGTATTCAGTCAAGTGCAGGTAGGGACAACTTGTAAGAAACCTGCCTGGAGTAACATCAAGAATCTCTCTTTTGGGAGCATACCTGCAGAAGAAGGTCTTAGAGAGACAGCCTCAGGAGTAGGCAGGCTTCACTTAGTAATGAACAGATTGTTTGGGTGCAATAGAAGAAAGCTGAAGAAGGGTAGGACAGGCCAATGAGGAAGAGGGAGTGTGCAGCAGCTGGGGCACCACAGAACACACAAGAAGGGAGAAAACCTGATTTGGATCTCTAAGAAGTCTAAGTCTGTAGATGGAGTCCCCAAGATAAAGGTGAGACCTCCAAAAGGCCAAGTGACCTAGGAACCCAGGGACCTATAGGGAGGTTTTGAAAAGTGTCAAAATAGCTGTCATTAGAGAAAACCATCCTGAGGAGAAGCTCATGAGATCTCATCCTCAAAGAACTGGAAGGAGTGTTTCATGGGACTCCCAAAGAGCAACTGATAGAGGGTACACTATTATGTGTGTGTGTGTGTGTGTGTGTGGGTGGGTGTTTGTATGCGTGCGCGCGCATTGAAAGTACAGTCAGACACATAGCAATAGCTTTTGGGCCTTCCATGACATTGAGGGAGTGTTTGACAGAACCTCTTTTTGAGAAAAAACATAGGCTCCTGAAAGGCATGGTGTTGGGCCCACTATTTGTCAGTGGATCTACTTTTTGCAACAAAGTGTCAGGGAAAACCCTGATCATGGTTAGAGGTTGCGTGCAATGTGCATTATCACACTCTGATGTGGATTCTGGCTATGGAAAATCTTCTATGGCTGCTCAGTGGAAATAATTGTTATTCAGTAGAATATACAGATGACATTGCAATTCTAATAAACAAGGAATTCCCTCAGAGGTGTCACAAACTACTCTGGGCATTGTACAGCAGTGGTGTGATAAGAAAAAAACTGTATAATCCCTCCCAAAAACAAATGGCAGTAATACTTTTTCCAGGAAGAGGGACATGGCTTAAGGAACCAGCTTCCTTATGTAAAAGAATCCAGCAATCACTGAAGTTAGTACTTTGGAATAACTTTTAACAGGGTGCTGACATAGAAAAAGTTGGTAGATAAGGTAGAAAACAAAGCCTTTGAACTTACAGAGGCATGTTTTGGAAAATATGGGGACTGAAACTAGAGGTGAGCAGGATTTATCAAGATTGTCAGGAATTGGATGAACGGAGACCATAAGCAACACTCAGAGTCCATAATAGGACTAAAACACGCAAAGGGTTTCCTTCAAGGACCCAATCAACGAAGGACTGGAGAACTAATAGAACTAAGTAGGAACCAGTTGAGATGTGTGATAACACTACTGAAAACTGTTACCTGAACACTGTTACCTGAAAAAGCACTCTTCATATTGGTAGTACCATAACTTTNTGCAAACGGTTTCCTTCAAGGACCCAATCAATGAAGGACTGGGGAACTAATAGAACTAAGTAGGAACCAGTTCAGATGTGTGACAACACTACTGACAGGGGTGCTGTTACCTGAAAAAGCACTCTTCATATTGGTAGTACCATAACTTTAGCAATCATATTGTAACAGCTCTTACCTAAAAAGTCTGCTGGTCCATACAGCTCTCCCCGACGACTTGTCACATACTGACGTTCTTTGTAGTAGAATGCTGCTCTGGCAATTTTTTCTCTAAATAAGATACAAGCACCACAAGATCAGAACAACCAAAACAACTGAGCAAAATGCTTTTCCTATTGTTACATGGGATGAGAAATAGTAATGGATAGGACTGATTGATTTATTAGGTATATAAGCACATTCTTTTAATGACAGAAGTTAATTTTGAATAATTGAGGAAGATATACATAGACTATGGATTGGTGGAATCTGGAAAAGACAATAATAACCTACTTGGTAATATATTGGAATTTGCTTGTCCAGATTGAAGAAAGCCAGAGAAATTTCAATTAAGACTAACTGATAATCTGGAATAGAGACAGGGAGAGCACAACAGTCTGTTGCATCATGATAGTTTAATTTATTTTTCTGTAGATTACAATTGGTTTCTGTTCATATTTTTAAGTTAGATTTGTATAGCACGTTCTTAAACACTATTATTTAATACATTTAGTGAATTCTTGTCAGTAATCTGTACTCACTTTGCAGTTGTAGTTTGATTAGAACCTCTAATTTTGTCAAATGCATTCAGAGTATCCAGCCAGCTAAATTTTGCATGTGAATTTTCAACATCGTATGTGATTTCGGCGCAGGCAGGCATACAGTTGCACTTAGACAAGCCCTCGTCATCCGATGCGTAGTTTTCTAAAATATGAAATTTAAATATAAGTAGAATAATATGTGTATATGATGCCAGAGAAGCAAAAAATACAGTCAGGTAGAAAGAACAGAAATGCAGGCACAGACATATTGCTTTATGGAGACATCTGGCCTGCAAGGGAGAGGAAGGTGGCATGAGGGCTATGAAGGGGGAACTTTTGGGAAAAGGGCATGTGCCAAATATTAATAATAAGAATTTAAAACATATTGTAAAATTTGGAATGGGAAACTGTAAAAATAGTTCCAAACAATTCACATTTTTCTTTATAAGCTAATTTTCTGGCTGTGTTGTCTGTGAACAATTCCTATCATCATCCATGGAAAGAAAATATTGGACTATCATAAAGCAGTAAACTGCAGGCCATATTGGCGGAGAAAAGAGAGACAGCAACAAAATAAACTTACTGGAAAACATCTCCTGGATGTGGGCTGGATTAATCTGATACAGGACTGAGTCCAGTGGAAGCTTTAGTAGACATAGTAATGAATCTTAACGTTCCATAATAGAGGGATAACATGACTAGCTGAATGATTAGCTTCATCACAAGAAGGAGTTCTATGGAGTTATTAAAAAAACATAACAAAAATATATATATAAATATTTCTTTAAATCTTATGTAGTACAATCAATAAAACTGAACAATGTGTATGCAACCAGAGATGGCATTTGCATCCAACCAAAATAAGATAATAACCAGCAGTGTACTGGGAACACACACAGTGCGTGATAAACAACGAAAGAGGAAATAGTTCTACAGACAAGAGTAAAACTAAAAACTTCAGAATATAGTATCAACTTGTGGAATACATAATGTATGGATGAAAGAAATATAGTGCAAAACAAGGCAATGAGAGAAGGTAAACAAAATAGCAGTGACAGATGACAAGAAAGCAAGCTTAAGGGTGATTCAACACATGATGTCTAACATTAATACAACATAGTAGCACACTCTTTCCCAATCTAAAATGATATTTACATGTGCATCAAAAACACAATCTAACATAATTGTATGGACCAATTTTAGGCAGACTCCAATATAAGTTATTTCAACATAATCAAACTCTTTATATAGGAGCAAAATTAGTCTGTGCATAACCGGTACAAACTATTCTATAAATTATTTTATAAATAATTTCATAAATATATGACATTTGTAATATGGAACCATGACAGTTAGATTTCAATATTTTATAACTTTATATATTGTAACTCCTGATAATGGATCCATGAGAGCCAAAAATTGCTGCATAGCTGTTCTTTGAGTTAAATAATCTCAGTTGACACAAATGTGGATGTCAGTTATTTATTTGATTGTTGTGCTGATGAATGTATGAGAGTGATATATTGATACATACAATAGGATGCATTCCCTGAAGACATTAATGGTCATTTAAATCTAGTGTATGCTGTTGTGTAAAAGGGTTAAACGTTCACAAAATAGAGGAAAAACTGTGACAGAATATTATTATGCATCTTATCCACCCATGTTTGAAAATGATAACTGGTTGTATCAGTTCCATGCTCTTCACATACTAAAAAGTTCCTTGTCTCCAGTAGTGTGGTGTCAATACATAATGACAGACATAATGGAAATATAATAAGTATGGCTTCTGTAAGTAACAATTTAAGTTACTGAAGTATCTATAGTCGTAGAAATTGATGATGTGTTTGATTGTGAATAAGGAAGAGCAAAGGATCTGGGAGAACACTGTTGTGGTATATTTTAAGGTAAGTACCAAAACATTTACTGGAAGGCACAAAAAACAAACTACAAACAATTTGTATTTGAAGAGTTCTGTCTCCTGTGGCACAAGGTTTTGCTCACTGCCTGCTTCACGTTTCTTGCTTGGATTACTTTTTGAACCTGAAGATGGAGGTGATATGTTCCTCTAAAATGTGATTGACTTTGACTGGACTATATTACCTTATATCCAAGAAAGTAGAACTCATTAACTGAAAGATTGTTTCTAGAATATATGAAGGTATTTTAAAAAATCTCCCATTGATTGACAGGCAGTTCTTTTAAATTTGTTGCTATATGTTCTGAATGTGGCTGTCTTTCTTACTCACGTAGTTTCCTCAACTCTCCTCTTCTCATGAGTAATACAATTGAAGAAAACAATTACATGCATTGTTTTACTACATGACTTTAGGAGTAAACATTATTACCTAACACCTCTTTCATGCACTGGTTCTTTCCTGGACCACAAATTGGAGTGTTTTTATCTCCTGGAAAGATGCAGCAGAGATAATATTATTAATTTATGAGACATCTATTTTTAAATGGTGACATGTATAATTATTTTGCTGGGGGTACGGAGTAGTGTAGTTGATTGGGGCACTATGTTATGAACCATAAGGTTGCAGTTTTGATTCCAGTTAGGTCATTGGATTTTTTAATTGACCTAATCCCTCCAGTCATACTATGGACCTGGTGTTGACTTAGCCTCTAACAGAAATGAGTATCAGGAACCTTCTTGGGGTTAAAGAGTGGGTGGTGCATAAGGACGACAACCTCACTGCCATCTGTGAGCAGCTGACTGTCTAGAAAAATGTGAGATTCTCAACATCTCAAAATCCTGTGGGCCTCCACAGCCTGTTACAGAGATAGCTTTACCTTTGTCCACCAAGAAAGTCTATTTGTTTGGTGGAGTTTCATGTAGGTGTAGATCATAGTGCATGTATTCCTACATCAGCCATTGTAATGTAAATAGAAATACTGCATGTTACTTAATCTAACACTGCTTGTCTCTAGAACCTTATATTTATGAATTACTAGCTGATATACCTGGCAATGCCCAGGCATAATGTACACATATAATTAGGAAGTGTATTCCAGCAAACCGGGATGGCAAAGTCGGTATAGCAACTGGCTACAGGCTGGCCAGCCAAGGGGTAGGAGCTTGAGTCACAGTAGGGGCAATTTTTTTTCCCTCCACGTCATACAAACAAGTTCTGGGGCCTACTCAGACTCTTGTACAATGGTTACTGAGTGCTCCTTCTCCAGGGGTAGAGCGGCCAGGGCGTGAAGCTGACCACTGACCTCCAACTAGTGCCGAGGTAAAAAATATGTAAATATACATCTACTCCCCTATATATCTTCATGGCCTAGTGTTTAATTACGTACTTAAGCGAAGTGAACATTTTACTTTCATTTTTGGAAGACTGAAAATGAAGTATCTCAAAGTCTTTAAGAGATAAACCTACAGAGTAAGGTGCTTTTTTCTCAAGCGGTTAGTTGCTGGCTTCCCACTACGATGGCACAGGTTCGATCCTGGGTCTGGTCAAGTGGGATTTGTGGTGGACAAAGTGGCGCTGGTGCGGCTTTTCTCCGAGTACTTCGGTTTCCCCTGCCAATCTTCATTCCACCAAATTCTCCATCATCATAATCACCCGGGGCAGGTACAATAGGCCAATCAGTGGCCTCAGTGCTGAGTGGACCAAGCTGGACAACCCCCCACTAGCGAAATGCAAGAGCTATGGCATGGCCTTTACCACTGTGCTAAATTTGGTTAAAATATGAGGAACAGTATTAAAATATATAAAAAAATAAATCACTCTTCTTTATATGTATAAGAGAAGAGATAATCAAATAGACTGTGGGAGTTTTTGACATCGTTTCATTGGTTTAGGATCCTGGATGCGGACAATTCTATGAAGGAACTCACGTGGCATATAATACGCAACACAACCACAATTTTTCAATGTGTAGTTTGTGTAACACTCAGAATCACAGTTTTCTTGCGTATATATGCTGAAATGCAGCAGATGGCGTTCTGTGGTGAAAAAGCATTGTCTCCTTTCTGGTGGATAGCTTCTCAATTCTGCACTTGTGCTCATCACATTAGGCTTAATACCAATCACAACATCTCTGTCCAGAGGCACTCTGAAATATTGGTTCACCACATTTGGGAAGTCAGTCGGATTATGTAATAGTGCCTGAAACAGAAGCATTCGGCTTACTTATGTCGGGACTATATTCAACCGAATCAGCAGAGTGCTGTCCCGGCACGACATCAGATTAGTGGGACTGCCTCCTAAGAAATTATCTAGCTTCCTCCTTCCAGTCAAAGATAGCCTGGGACTAAGGACACTGGATGTATACAGAATCCCCTGCGAGTGTGGTAAGGTCTATATTGGGCAGATGGCCCGTTCCATGGACACGAGGTTGAAGGAACATCAGCGGCACATCCGTCTCGAACATCCAGACAAGTCAGCTGTGGCTGAATAGAGCATCGATTTGGGACACGGCATTCAGTTTCAAAATACCTCCATCCTCGCCACCAAGACCCGATATATGGATCGCATCATTAGGGAGGCCATTGAGATTGAACTCCATCCCGACAATATGAACAGAGAGGTGGGGTTTTGTCTCAGCAAGTCATGGAAGCCTCTTATCTGTTCCCTCAAGAAACCTCTGGGACATGACGCCAGATACACAAGACCACGCAAGTCCGTGTCCGACACACATAGCAACCCCAAAGCTTAAAGGTTGATGCCCTCCCATTAACCTTGCCTTTCTTCACCGACACAGTATTCCATACCTACTCAGGCCTGTCACCTGCTGGCCTACCTCCCCAGAACCTTCCCCTCTACTCTCTTCTGATTTCCCATATAGCCCCTCTCTCCCTTCTCTTCCTGCTTTTATACAGTTTGACTCGACATTACCCTGTGAGCCTTTGCTCATGCCGGTTCCTCGTTTGCGAAGATTCTCCTTTTTTCTTCTACCCTGAAGATGGAGGTGATAAGTTCCTCCAAAACGTCGGTTAACACAATATCTACATGGCGCCACATCCCACAAGACTGCTTTCTTCATAGTCACCGCCATGAAAACCTCTAATCTTACATACTTAGAACAAATTCAAACTGAGGAAAAAAATACATATACAGTATCCATCAGGACATCCCAGTGATAGAGAAAATTTGGAGATATGCTTATACATGTGAGAATAGTTCTTAAATGGACATCAGAGAAGTAGTTTGTGAAGGTATTGACTTAATTCTGTAGGTTTTATTGCTGAAAATGTGCATTCTATGTGTGAAATTACATCCAATTGTTTGATAAAAGTGCGCCCTCCCGCACGCACATGCACACACAAAATTTATAATTTATTATCTGAGATCATCTGTCTATATATTGTTAAATAAACAAAGAATTAGAGATCTGCAAACCGTTTGCCAAGACATTTGATGTACAAATGTGATTCTAACTTTTATAATGGAAGTATTATACTTACCTTAACCCCATGGATAGAGAAACTACATAATGGATTAATGTTCTCATTTTCCATATAGATGAATATAGTGAGGCCTGAGTAGGCTCCAGCATCCAGAGCTCGACGTGGAAATGCTTCATTTGCTTTATTATCAGGGAAACCACCCTCAAGACTCCAGTTTGAAGTTTCACCATGATCTAAATGCTTGTCTTCTCTTTGAATCCTAAAAAAGATACAGAGATAAATTGTGGTGCTAAAGATTGTTTTCCCATATGGAACCTGTCGTAAAGATTTCTTAAAATAGCTAATTAACCCAGTCCATGTCACACAAAGATATCTTGCTTGGAAATACTGGGCCTTCTAGTACAAGATCATTTAGTGCTCAAGGATTAAAGAAATCTCTCTTGCCATCACTCAAAAATATGAGCTATCTATTTGCAGCTTTCTACAAGAGAAACTACATTCCATAGAAATGTACTAGTAAATTTTCAGTTTTGTACTGATTTGTACTTGTTAGTGCAAGGAACCTTTTTATTTGAATACTAACAAATTGTCATAACAATTTTCCACCTTGAAAACCAATTTTTAATCAAGGAAGTATCATACAATTGATAGCATCTCTTATTCCTTAAAACCTATTATTAAATCAAGGGTGCATCCTACAGCAGATGCCATTTTAGATTCATTGAAGAATGGTATTTACCAAATACATAAAGATTGCTCAAAATTCAGGAACTATATCCACAGACCACAGTCCATCTTGACAAGATAATGTGGTAAAATTTAAAAGATTGAGTCCATATCTCGAAATCATATTACTTATTTAATCTGTCCAAATATTATCCTTTGATCTACAACTTTGTTTTCAAGTAACCACATTCTTTTAGGGTTTGCAGCAAATGATGTATTCATTTCTCATCATTCCCATCCATGTTCCATGCCCCAATCCATCTCATCCTCCCTGATTTTGTTAACATAGTGATGTCTGGTGAAGAGTACAAATTATGAAATTTATTATTATGGAATTTTGTTCAAACTCTTTGTACCTCCTTTCTCTTAGGTCCAAATATATTTCTAAGCACTCTGGTGGTAAACTGGCTGCTTCATCTGAAATGGACTCCAGACTGTATCAATGAAAAACATTACATATTACAGCAGACAATTTTCTGTTGTATGTTCATTGTTCACTTTATTTCCACATTAAACAACTCCTTAGGCCTATTCGAGGTTGACTTTATTGTGGCTTTTGTTCTGCATATTTTGGATTAAGGCATGTTTCTGTTCAATTTAGGTTCCTTCCTGGGTACTGTTTGGTGTGCATGCTGTTGCTAGACACCCACTGCTTTTGCCTTTTTCCACACAGTCCTTGCTGTCTTTGAACTCTGCTATCCAGCAAAACACGGTTCTGCGATGTGGTACTGCTTCCACACATACGGCTGCTAACCTCGTGTGAATATGTGAAGCAGCCACTCCTTCCCTCCAGAGAAACCACACAGTCCATTGTTGCCCATGATCGCCCGTGATTGTCTGAGCGTTGTCCACAACTGCACCTGCACACCGCCACGAATGACGTAGCACTGTTCGACCTGTGCGCAGTAGCAACATCATCTCGTGGCCTTAGGCGGCAATATAGTATGTCTTCCCACATACACCGACTCGCATTTGACACTGCTACTTTTCTGGAGTTATGGAGGGAGTATCAATAATTTTTGAACGACCTAAATAAATTGAACAAATTCGTCTGTTCACTGTGTACTTCACTTGTGCATCCAGTCTCACACTATGAGTCTACACATTCTTCTAAGTCACATTTTAAACCAAGGCAATCAAGATCAGAATTGTTCCATAAGATACCATCTTTTGCCCCATCAGGTGCATTTGTAATGCAACATTGCTTGAATGCCTGTTCCACAGTTCTTCCTGAGATCTTCTTCCAAGGGGCCTAGACCAATTCTGCAAGTTTTGAGCAGATGACATCTAGAATGTACTGGATGGTGTTGATGTCACTGGAAAGTTTACAGATAACAACTATGCCTTTTAGGGGACCCGTACACACATGAGTCTGGCTCGCTAGTCTGACTCGGTTCTGTTTCCAATGAGCCAAACTCATCTGTGTGTGGGTTGCCATGCTCATACGTGTGTGGTGAAGTTAATCCGAGCCCGGCTCCTCGCCGAGCCGAACTTGCGATCCAGACTCGTATGTGTATGGGACGCCTTAGTCCACTCTTAAAAATAATTAATTTAATCTTCACTTCTTCAGCCAAGTGTCCATGAAAGGCAACGAGGACCAACAGATTTAATTGGTTATGTATAACTGCAGGGCACCTTTCCCAGACGCTTTTCACCTAACAGGCAATCAGATCAGTTGTCATCTATCCATTTCTTGTGCACACATACTGATGTTTTTAGGGAACATCTCTCTTTCCCATGGTGATAAGAAACTCTGTCAACAAAGTATGTGCAACAAGACCTACTGGCATTTAATTGAACTACTAATGATAGAGAAGTTATGGAGGGTACAAAGCTGAAGGGAGGACAAAAAGAAAAACAATATAGAAAGGAAAAAAAAGAAAGGGGCGTGAGGAAGTCAAAGGGGAAAGGAAAGAAGGAAGAATAAATCAAAGAAAGAAAGAAAAAAATAATATGAAAATGTGTTCAGTTGAACGATAATTTAGTTCGAAATGGAAATACTTGGAGGACCCTTGAGATTCCATAACATGAAAGTGTCCCTGCAGTAGGCAGGGATTTTTCTCTAGTGGTCTACTCACGTGCCATTGTTAAACAGCTCAGTGGAACTGAGAATGTTGAATGTGTAGCATAGTCCATTATCTGTCAGAACTGAAGTAAAGATATCTGAGCAGCTTTCCAAGATTCCTCTCCAGTAACATTCGAACATTACTTCATCTATTTCCGGTGCAACCTGAAAGCAGATATCTTCCTAGGTTTTGAAGGAATATATATATAGGGAGGTTAATATCCAAAATGTTTACATTTCCATAAGTGCATATATATTTCAATTAGCAATGTGTACTATGGTTGGTGAACTCACGATATTGGGACTTCTGTAACGTCATGTTACTTCGCTGTCTTTCAGTATGGTATTAATCAATTACATAATTTTATTTTCTCTTATTGGCTCTGAGATCTAGGTCAGTCATCTGTCCAGTGTGTAATATGAACTCCTAGTGTGACGATTGGAACATGAATCTGTGCGCTCACGTTCGACTAATGCCATAATTTACAGTGCATGCAAATTTATAGTGCAGAGTTTAAACTATGGGGCAACATTTTCCTTACCTTAACTTTATTCCCGCCAATCAACCGATAGAGCCAATGGGACAGATTCTGCTAAGTCTGCCGTGATATGATATGTTTATTTCTTATAATATTTGTACTATTTTGTGCAATATTTTTTTATGAGGGAAAGCAAAAAATTAAAGACAGTTTATTTTCCTTCAAAAGGAAATTTGGTAGCAGGGGAAAAGATGTCATATAAATTGTGGTATATGGAATTTCCCTTATTTGCACCCAATTTGTTTTAATTGTCTTTTCAGCAATGAAAATACTGTGTTGCAATTTTGACGGAAGATAAACAATGGATGCTAACTGTGATACAATATTTAACATAGCTTCTCCCTTAATAGACTGCAACAGAGAAGGACAGTATTTTGTAATGCCTTTTACTGTCAAAGGACATGCAATCTAGAAAGCCAGTTGAATATTATTGAATATTATAACTGTACTCGTATGAGCCAGAAGAATGTGTACAGCCAGCTAGAAAGGTTCAAAGAATGGATATTCTAGGTGGCCATCAACTATAATGTGCTGAATTTAAGGAGCAGATTAGAATATCCAGGATAATGAACGAAGCCTCTCCGAAGAATCTGCATCCTCAGTGTGCAGAAATCAATGGATTAATGTGGTGCAAACACAGAAACAACCTTGTTTAGAACACCCTTCCTTACATGTCACTCACTCATGGAGCTGAGCCCTTCTTGAGAAGCCGTCAATTGTGCAGCTACTCAAGCATTTCCCAGCATTTTATGGGACCTGAAGGTTCATTACTGTGTTCACAAGAGACTCCTGAACCAGGTCAATCCAATCCATACCATCCCATACCATACAATGTTAATATTATCCACCCACCTACAGATTAACCTATATATTGGCCTCTTTCTCTCTGGATTTCCCACTAGTATCCCATATGCATTCAGCTTCTTCCGCATTCGTACTACATGCCCTGCCCATCTTGTCATCCTCGACTTGATCATTCTAATTATAGGAAATATCATTTATATTTACCTCCTCGATGAATTTAATCGCTCTGTTGTCTACTGTGTCATTTCCGTTTGATTCAAAGTCTTCTATATCGCACACCAGTCTTGAATAAAGCAGTTTCTCACGTCTGAAATGGAATATACTGTATATATGAATGAATGAATTGCCATATAACCTTTCGTACGACAGTAAGAGGTCTGACAATAAAGTTCGCGAACTTGCCACCTTGTGCTTGCCGTGGCAGCATGGGACAGAAATCTCAGTATGGTTTGGATACGTTGGCATATCAGCGTTTCACAGCTATGTTGTTGTTGATCTATGACAGTCTCTTTCTGAGTGGCGTCTATTATTGTCTGAATTTCCAAAATTGTGTTGAAGCGAACATTAGGCCTAGCATCGGTGCATAACATTCCAAGGGGTGTACTTTGAAGGCGCCCACGTTGATTATTAAGCAATGAGATATGTAACAGCTTCATCGCTATGAGTTCGCGAACTTTATTGTCAGACCACGTAAGTAATAATATTGTGGCACTTTATTTGGGCTTTATCACTGTCTGTGATGAAGATTACCTTTACCTGGCAGGCTCTACAGAGTAAGCTTCATTTGTTATGAAAACTGAGACCGAAGGAATTTCTAGAATATTATATTTTAATTCATTTTAAACGAACACACTCCAATTAAATATCATAACAACAGTAGTGTGTCTTCTTTATGGCTTGAAATATGTTATTTCACTACTTCAGTTCCTCTACTAAAAACATTTATCTTATGGTATTAGCGCAGTCGGTATAGCGACTAGCTACGGTCTGGACGACCGAGGGGTGGGATTTCGAGTCCCTGTAGTGTCAAAAATTTTCTCTTCTCCACGTCATCCAGATCAGCTCCGGGGTCCACCCAACCTCCTATTCAATGTATAAAGGGGGCTCTTTCCCTAGGGGTAAAGAGGCCGTGGCGTGAAGGTGACCACTCACCTCCAGCTAGTGCCGATGTCAAGAAAATATGGATCTGTACATCAACTCCTCCATATGCTTTCATGGCGTAGTGCTTAATTAGGCAAGCAAAGGACAACTTCACCGATACCTTTTACAAGGAATAGAAGCGGTTTTGCATTGATAGTTTGTTGTGTTTAATTCCTTAATTATTTCCGTATGGGTTCCTTTGCATCGCTTTTGTGTAACATATCACCGTCCTTCTTGGGTCAAAAATAAATTTGTGTTCAACAACAGTGACTTCTTCTTTAAGTTAATTTAGCCTATTTAGATCTGTGAACATAATTGGAAACACGCCCTGGCCCATATTTGGAGCCATAGGAGTTTCTATCAAGCCCAGTTGTAAATTTATTTTCTTTTTATTGCCCCACTTTAAATACTGAACGTTTTTATTCTGGCGCTTTATTGTTGAAATTCTAAACTAAATGGATAGAGACGATACTGAACGCTGTCAGTGCTATGGATCTGTATGTTTAGCGACAATTTCAATTGTTGAAGTTTAATGCTTACTCTTCGTCTGTTTTGTTATCCTTGAGGAGTGTCGATGAAACACTGAACGAAGTATTCTTCACTTTGACCTGTGGACAAATTGTGATCGCTGGGAAGGGGATGTTCCATACGGGGGTTGGGACGTCAGCAAAGGACACGAGCACAGGCGAAGTATTCCATCTTATCCATATTTTGAATATGAAATGGGCCACCACAGCCGTGCTGATGAGGAATGAAATCAGCCAGAATATCCTGCAACATAATCAGCATTCTTTTTTTCATTGTAATATTATGGCACAAGATAACACTCGTAGGAGGGACCAAACAAAGCAGGTGTTTCCCACCCCTCACCTGACGACGGAAACAGATCCAGTTTCCGAAACGTCGTGTTATCTAGTTTTTAGAATATCGGACGATGGATAAAATACAAAAACCCAATAATTAAATGCCGACTTTTTTTTATTGCTAGTGGGGTGGGACTAAGTCCCTTGTACTGCGGCCACTTCTGGCCTATTGTACCAGCCCCAGATGATAGGTGAGGGTGATTGTGGAGCAATTTGTGGAATGAAGATTGGCAGGGGAAACCGAAGTACTCGGAGAAAACCTGCCACAGCACCTCTTTGTCCACCACAAATCCCACTTCACCAGACCCGGGATCGAACCCGGGCCGCCGCGGTTGGAAGCCAGCGACTGAGCTATGGAGCGGCGAAATGCTGACTTAGTTTGTCAACTTTTTGTGAACATGACCCTTACCTATGATTTGTATAAAAGCAGAGAGTATTTTGCCCAGACGAGTAATTAACAGAGCTGTAAGAAGATCTATGTTCTCACAGCTTCGGCTGTGGACAATACAGTCTTCTAGTATATAATACCATGTGGTCTGGTATAAGTTCACAGATGCTTCGGAGGAACATAGTACTTCCATATTCACGGTCGAATATTAGTCAGCATGAAGCAGGAGACGAACAAAGGCTTTGTTTGGCTTGCACACTGAGGCAGTATGTTCCTCTGAAATTTCGGCGAAATTCTACCCGACTGTTCGGTGTCAAACCCTTCACTAAGAGATCGTGCTACCACGCTTACCTCTCTGACGCGTGTCTGTGGTTCTCGCCTATATACCGCAAGCCATGGAGGCTTGTGGAGCAGCAGAACTCCATTGTATTGTTCCTCAGCAAGTCGAACAGTCCATTCGGTTTGCGCCATTTATTGTCTTCCTCGATGTCCATCACGAAATCATCGCATTTTTTGGACGTCGTGCGTCGCGTGGCCTGAGGAGACCCCAACTTGCACGTCATGTCACTGAATGCTACGGAAGTAGAACACGTGAAACAAACTGTTAACAGGACCATGATAACCTACGCTCCGAAAATTCCTCTTCCGTCAGGCATTGTCTGAATAGGAATTAATCAAAGCTTGTCGAAATAGTAACCTTATATGTACATAGCAGGAACTAGCTGTGGTCTTCCTCAGGCATGAAACTGAAGAAGAACGCATATACCCAAATGTAAATGATAAGATTACTGACGTTTCGAAACAACTTTAGTCCTCTTTCAGGGGAAAGGAAAGGATATATTATACATGTGATTATAAATAATGATCCTGAAGAAGAATGCATACAACCTCGTCGAAATGTCAAAATTACTGCTATTTTGGAATAATTAATTTCATCGTACTTCAGGAATAATCTTCAACATGGCTTTATACAGCCACTGCAGTAAGAAGAAATTTCAGAGGAATCAGCTGTCTTCTCATCCAGGAGTAGTCATTGTGAGAAGTGCATCGAACCCAAAAGAAATTGGAAAGAGAACCAATGTTTAGGGGAACTAGTTGTTCTCTTATGCAGGAATAATCCTGAAGAATAAGATATGCACCTAAGCCAAAATTAGATTACCGGCGTTTCGGAAGAACTATCTGCCTTTTTCAGAGATGGGGGAGTGCCGTGTTACAAACACGTTAAAAATCGCAATAGAATACTGATTACTAATTACATATATTTTATATAGTGACGTCTTCATAGAAACCACTTTATGCAGGCCTGGAAATTATTTTCTTCTTTCGTTCTTCATTTTTCTTCCATTTATTTCTTATTCATTTTCAACAGAAAACCGAAACACATTTATCTTAATAATGAAATAAATGTTCGAGGATCCAAACCCGTAGATTTTGAATAAGCGCTTGACTGGTGCAGGCATATTTGCGTCTTCTTCCGTGCTTTCAGAAAGGCTCATTAGTTTCATTTTCACGAAAACTATAGGCCCGACGTGGATATAACTCGATATGACAGAATGAATTGAAATTTGCTGAGCGAATCTGAGTTTGGTTCAATTGAAGAATCACTTTACGTATCTGATGAACTGGTTGACAGAATTTCGTGATATTTGATATACAAAAATGTAGGTGTATTCTTTAATGTCTGCTTAACAGAAACTGTTGCATAAGAGCGTGATCCTTATTTTCTCTTTTTTCATTTTCCATACCCTTACTTCCGCACCCCCCTTTTTTTTTAGATCCACGTTACTTATATATTTAAATGCATGTTTTGACATGTCGTTAAGTATTAATCTTTCTTAAACGTGGAGCATGCGGTATCGTAGTTGGTTGAGGCACTATGGTACAGCCGGAAGGTTGCAGGTTCAATTCTCAATGAGGTAATTAACTTTCGTTTTTTTTTTTTTTCAATTGACCAAATCCTTCCAGCCGCACTATGGCTCTGGGGTCGATTCAACCTCTAACAGAAATGAGTACCAGGAATATTCTTGAAATTTTCTTGGGGGTAAACGGCGGCCAGTGCGTAAGGCTGACAACCTTACCGCCATCTTTGAGCCGACTGTCTAGAAAATGTGGGAACCTCAACATCTCACAACATTATGGGCCTCCACGGCCTGTTACAGGGATATCTCTAGTTTATTTTTACTTACCCTTTTTTCCTTCGCGTGGCTGTGTAGCCTGGCAGATGGTTATCCGCGTCAATGATGAATGCTGTGACTCCATCTTCAGGGTAGAATAATATGCTTCAATTGGGCTTTAACGAAATCTAGTACCGATGTAATGAGAAGATTGGTAAGGACAATAGCTCTGAGTGAACCAATCAGATTAGGGAGAAGCACGAACAATTCTAAGGCCCCTGTATCACCATAACTACATCCATATTCTTCTTACTTTCCAACCCTGAAGATGGAGACAGCACATATCTCCCAAACCCTCTATCAAACTACACGTAGTCACATACTAGAAGGCAATAACCTTCACAGTTGCTGCCGTGGGAACCTCAAACCGCACGTAATACACGGAAAATGTGTGTCATAGGATTAGAGCTACTGCTTACCTGCAGGGAGCTTCGAGAAGTGGTAACTGCAGTCAAGACACGCCCTTGCAGTGTGTTTGGGCGTGCTGAATTGGAACGAGAAGCTCTGTAATTAAAGTAAGAAGAGTTACGCCCCAGAGACTTACGGAAGCCTCAGCAAAATAGCTTTAACAAACTGCACTGGTGCGTCCCTACTGCAAAATGATTTTTACTACAAAACAATGAATGCGAAATTGACAAAATCTTCTCAGACGATAAGCCTCTTCAATATTGATACTCTACGAAACGTCGAACTTCGGCTGCGATCTGATGCATATGTTCAATCATGTCGAATTTACAACATTTAATTCACCGTGAAATTTTCATTGTCTAAAGTATGAGAAAAGGTTTCTTGAGAAATTTCACTGTTCGTTGGTTTTCACTTTGTTACAAACACAGATCTTCCGTCTCCTAATCACTCCTGGTAAATGAGAAACGACTTTCCTTGTATTTAGTTAAATATTCACTATATCAAAAGTTGGCATCATGCTAGACAACAGTGAGTTATTCGGTATCCAGACGGAGTTAAACGTGTGACTTATTGTAACCGAGTGTAATTATGATAGTAACGTCCAATAAACTCAAAGATTAAATCCAGAATCCACAATTATTTGCCAAGGAACCGCGGACACGTGACAGTATCTCCTAGAATTAATTCGCGTTTTATTTAATAATTGTGAAGAAAAGTCGGCAAGATTTTATCTGTACGGAACTTTCGTGACATGTAGCAGATGCGTGCATCCGTGACCCAGACACACCCTGCAGTGTTATCTCCACTGCACTTGTTATTAAATTATTTCATGTTCCTGTAACATGAAGATGGGATATAATTCGAACGTCACATAAACATTACAACATTTTTATATTTTTTATCTCACATTACATGTTTCGACCTCCAACTGTCACCGTTAACGTGGAGGCATGCATATATGAGACAAATACTTCAAAGTTGTAAATAGAAATCCCTAAAATATGGAAATCCATATATAGTAAATCAAATTATAATAAATTAATTCGAATCCGACTTAATGAACGCCAGTTACATCGAGTTAGCGGGAATGACGCCGCTTCCCAGCCTTCAAGGTGTGGACAGAATTATGTGTTTAGTTGTAAGATCATTACGGTTTACGTGAGATAAATTACACGTATTTTTGACAAATATTTCTATGGGAAAATTTTCTTCAAGCGTTTGTGAATAGATCAAAAGGGCACACGAATTTTCGAGTCCGTTTTAATTTTTGTGATCGCTTCTGTGCTCTAGTGGTCAGAGCTCTTGGCTACATATCCAGAGGTACCGGGTTCGATTCCCGGCGCTACCACATTTTCTGAGAAGTAGTGGATCTGGAACGGGGTCCACTCAGCCTCGTGAGGATAATTGAGAAGCTACTTGAATGGAAAAGTAGCGGCTCCGGTCTAGAAAACCCCACCCACCTACGCCTTGGTCTTCCCTGTGGCCTCTTTCCTCCTGGCTTCCCCACCAATATCCTACAAGCATTCCTCGTCTCCCCCATTCGTGCTACACGACCTGCCCACCTCATCCTCCTTGACTTGATTATTCTAATTATACTAGGAGAAAAGTACGAGTTATGAAGCTCCTCATTATGCAGTTTTCTCCAACCTCCTGTCACTTCATCTCTCTTCGGTCCAAATATTTTCCTCAACACCCTGTTCTCAAACACCCTCAGTCTATGTTCCTTTCTTAATGTCAGAGACCAAGTTTCACACCCATATAGAACCACAGGCAAAATTATAGTCTTGTATATTCTAATTTTTATGTTTTCGGACAACAGACGAGAAGACAAAAGGTTCTGGACTGAATGGTAGCAAGCATTACCCGAGCTGGAAAATTGACTAGCCCTGGAAAACTGTTTGTTCTATAAAACTGGCCGCCTCCCCCCCCAAGTTGAACCTATCGGCACCGGTGTCCCCGATCTCAGACATGGGATTCCGTTTCTTCCTTCTGTCTGCTATCGTAACATCTGAGCCATGTAGATTGTGCCGCTATATTATCACTGCCCAAAAGACAATGAAATCCAAATGAGGGAGGGCCATACTCTTTATATCAACCAGCTTTCTCAGAAGTAAAACCATCACTTTTGCAGTAAACTTGATATTCTGTTTTCGTCCTTATTCTTTCATCTAGGCAGCAGGCAACGTCAAAAAATACTTTCCAAGGCAAGAGACAGAGAGAGAAAGTTTTTCTTTTTGTCCTATCAAATATTAAGCACTACGCCACGAAGGAGTATGGGAAATGGATGTATACTTCTATATTTTCTTGAACTCGATACTGGTTGGAGGTAAATGGTCAGCTTCACGCCCCGGCCGCTTTACCCCCGGGGAAAAGAGCCCGAGTACTGATCCATTGGATAGGAGGTTGGGTGGACCCCAGAGCCTGTGTGGACGACGTACAGAAGAGAAAATTAGTGACCTTACCGGGACTCGAACTCCGACCCCTCGGTCGTCCAGCCAGTAGCTAGTCGCTATACCGACTGCGCTATGCCGCCTCCATTAGTTAAGCACAGGGACAAGTTTGCCTGTATCTTTACCTTTACGTATCAACTGTTCGAAACGAAAATGCAACTTGCTGAATGTTTGAGACAGTTGAAGCAGTGGGAACTGGAACGGAATTGTCTCTACCTTTGCCCGTCACTGCCTCTGGAACGTCGTAGTCAAGCCCGCAATCATGAATGTTACGTGTAGAATCCATAACAGTTCATAAAACAGAAGGTCTTCATATTTATTTATGTAGTTATTTATTTTCTTATTTCATGTAAGGTACAGATACTATGAATAATGACACACTACAATTAATTACAGAAACAGGATGAATGAGCAATCATTCCAATGTCAGTATTTACAAATTAATATTTTGTGTGCTTTAAGCTTTAGTAAGATTCGTTCAAGACATATCGTATTTACGCATGTATAGGCCGCGTGCGTGTATAGGCCGCAACACAATTTTCAGACAGAAATTATAGAAAAAATAATTTTCTTGGAATATTATTTCAGGAGTATTACACCCTGTATTACTAATTATGAATACAATTTTTTTTTAAATGAAGTGTGATTTCGAATATTTCGAATATAAGCCGCACCCCAGTTTTCCTCTTGAATTTTTGGCAAAAATGTGCGGCCTATACATGCGTAAATACGGTATTTATCACACACACGAATTTAAATCATGAAACTTGTCATGATAAGAGATTCTGAAACAAGTGACATAATAAAAGAAAACATATAATTAGATTCTTTGACATACAACGTTACGCTGTACAATACTGTAGTTCCTAACTTCTTACATATTTCACAACTTCCATGTTTCAAACGAGATATCTAGCATTGAAACAGTGGTCTTTCAGGTTAGGATTTATTGAGTATTCTAAAATACGAACGCCAGAAATGTCCCTTCGTCTGTGAACAATCCAGTTTTGTCATCAACAGAAATTGCATATTTCCATGGAAATACAAGCGAACAGCGTGGAGGAGGTTAGAGAAGAAAGTGTCACTGTAGGCAACTTGTCCATCATTCTCATTGTCCTCATGCTGATGAGTTGTTGCCATATTCAAGCTCCTTGAAGGAACTTCTTAAATCCTTCTGCGCGCTTCCCTTCCGGATCCAGAGTCTGCTTAATTTTCTGCCACACCTCAGGATGATCTGCAATGAGGGCCTTCATTGCTTTCCTAATGTTCGCCTTCTCGGGTTCTGTACATTCACTGCATTTCGTGACGAGAGCATGCAGCAGAAATCCTGTTACAAAAACATGAACCAATTACATAACAAACAGCTATGATTGGGATATTGGGGTGCATTTTGATTGTGTGATGCAATGGTTCTGTCCCTTCAGACTGATTTTTTTTTTCCGAGGCTCAATTCACTGTCTGTCTTTCATCTACAACGTAAACAACAGCCGGTCTATGCATTCAATTATCATTACCATATAAACATCTGCTAAGGTACATAAAATGTATACAAAATTTTGCAGTCTACAGAACAATAGTCTGTATTTGAAACAAAGTAGACACTATTGTATCTATATTCGTTTTTAATGACGCTATACGTTTCGACCCTTATACTGGGTCATAATCAGGCTCTTATTGATACCAGTCTCAGTTGTTGAATTATATCTAACAATTTGCATCTAATTCTTCAATAACGATCTTGTATATACGTATATTTATATACCCTATTTATAACACACAACAGGATGGATACTATTAAAAATGTAAAAATTTTGCCTATTTACGAGATACTAATTAATGCCTTCGCCGATCATAGTGACAGAGCGGGCTAACGCATGAACTGTCTTCTCTCGCTATAGCAATGGGATCTTGGGTTCGAGTCCCACTCGAGGCATGGATGTCTGTGTGCTTTTATTCTGTGTCTGCGTTTTTCTGTGTGTAGGTAGTGGCCTTAAGACGTGCTGATCTCCCTTCCAAGGAGTCCTACCGGCTCTATATAGATTAAGAAACTAAAATGCGGCCAATAGGGTTGTAGAGCCATAGATAGATAAATTAAAGCATTCATATGCAATTAAAACAGAAATAAAATCATATTAATGTGTGATGAAAATCAGTAATTAAAAATTAATTTGCGTAGGTTTATGCACTCATTGCTAGAAGTATACCACAACGATTTACACTGTACACTTAGCGATGAGACTGCGTGCAAGGAAAAGTATTAAAAGTAACAGGGACTACTTAGTTCCTATAAGGAAACGGAAATCGAAAATGTCGCTAGTTGCAAAGTAATAGCTTCTTTCTCAGTTGAGATGAACTCTAAGTTACATGATAAAAAGCTATTTGCAATTGTTTTACCGGCGTCCGATTGCGGAACACCAAACACAGGACCAACGAAGTCCACTCAGCCTCGTGAGGATAACTGAGAATCTGTTTCAAGGAAAGGGCGGCTCCGGTTTAGAAAACCGAGATTAACGGCCTTTGGGATCCGTTGCGTTGACCACGTGTCACCCCCTATCAGCAAAATTTGGTACTAAGTTCGCCGACAAGCGGCGGTAGCTCGGTCGGTATAGTTCGCTTGCGGACTACAGGCCACGGATATTAAGCATATGGACAGGAAAACAAAATACAAGTGCCCAATTTTGTGTTAATTATATGAATTTTGTGCGGGGAATGCACTCTAATAAAGCGATTTTAACTCCTGTATCCTGGAACGACAGATGTGATATATGATAACAATTTTCATATTTCAATAGCTCTAAATTATATGGTTCCCGTGCTACACTGTATCAGTAAATTCTAAACATATATGAACCACGTAATTATATACGCGGTACAGTCATTAAGTTCGTGGAATGTGGTTTTATCGCATCATATTACAAGGTATTCACATGCACTTAACGCAGATCCATATCGGCCCTAAAAATAGTTGCCGTTGGCCGCTATGCAAGTCTGTCAACGTTGATATAGCTGTCGAAAACACTGCTGAAACATATTGGCAGTAAATTCCCGTACGACGCTTTGCGGCCATGCCACGAACTTATTGACTGTGGCAGTGCACAAAGTATGAGATCAACATAACTCACTAGGAATATATAATAAGAAAAAGTAATCCATGAAAAGTGTGAACGAAAAGGGAACCATCTAATGACAATTCAAAATAACAGATATTACGGGCAACAACAATAAATAACCTAAAAGGACAGACAAGAGACCAGGCCATTTTATAACTTTATGGTCATAATAACCACCTGCAATTAAAATCACTATCTTGCAAGGAACCATATTAAAACACAGATGGTTAATATGGATGATACAGAGATGATAACAAACCTTTCAACTTGGATGTCTTTTCGGAGCACGAAGCATCGTCTACAAGACATGCGCCGAAACTAGCTAGAGCCTCGACGTCCATACTGCCAAGCTGTTCGGTGTCAGTGACTGCACAGACACTGAGAACAGCGACCAGGCAGGCGACCGATGCGACGACCAAACAGTTCATCTTGGATAGATTCAACTCCCCTGACTCTGCGTTCTATATATATGATAGCGGCTTCTTTTGAGAACGAAACCGGAATAATCCGAAGGCAACCGGCAATCAGACATTGCCTCTGGCTAACATTCCCTCGCGCGTCTACTCATGTGACGATAAGGGTCCGTAGGTGTGACGTGGGAGTTTATGGAAAGTCGAAAAGAAGCGAGAAGTTGGATGGTAAGAAACTGTAGAAGTAAAATTTTTGGAGTACTGTATACAGGATGTCCCAGGAGGAGTATTTTTCATAAACGACGCATAAGAATGAAAATGCTAAAGAAGACATTATAGTTAAATTACAAGAACTTCGGCCTCTAATACTTCTGATCCCAAAATGTACTTTTACCATCCCACCTTTCAGACCTCGTCAAGCCAGCAGTGTCAGTCTTCAGACAGCTATTGACCGGATCGGGTGTTATTCCGTGTAAGTCTGCAATAATGCACATTGGTTTCTTATTTCTCTTTCGTTTTAGTTTTATTTTGTTATTTTTTAATTTAGTTGAGTTTAATTTTTATTCTTAGGGCTTATTATGACCGTCTCTGTGGTCTAGTGGTCAGAGTTCCTGGCTACAGATCCAAAGGTCCCGGGTTCTGAGAAGTAGTGGGTCTGGAACGGGATCCACTCGGCCTCGTGAGGATAACTGATGAGCTATTTTAAGGAAATAGAGGCTCCGGTCTAGAAAACTGAGATTAACGGCCGTGGGGATACGTTATGCTGACCACGCGACACCTTCTATCCGCAGAAGTTGGCATTAACTTCGCCGAAAAGTGGCGGTCGCTCAGTCAGTATAGTTCGCTTGCGGACTACAAGCCATGGAGTTTGTTTTTGTTTGTTCGCTGTGTCTGTTTTGTGATTTATTCTTTGGTTATCCTGTCAGTTTCTCTCCCGGTCTCTGGTAAAACTATTCAGTTTAATTTCCATTCTACTTGCACCTGGTAAAGAGTTGTGATGATGAAAAAAGAAATTGATCTCGAGAATTAAAAGAATTTCAGCAGACTTTACTACGAAGAAGTGGTTTTCGGAATGCTGTATCATCTCTTCCTCTGTATGTACTGATTGACGTGCCCCTGGCTAGCTCATGCACGGCTGGATAGATTTTATTCATGTTCAATATCTAAGAGTTTAACTATAATTAGTCAGCGTCCGGTGAATATGAACAAAAGGGGATGTTAAAATTCACCTCCAAAACAGAGACTTATTCGAAAACGGATATGATGATTGTGATTAAATTTCCGTAACTTATGGAGTCTTTCGCCGTGAATAAAACTGCAAATTTGATTCATCTGGAAAATAGTTGAACGAGCAATGAAAGCCCAAACGCTTTCTCGGAAACGGCTTGAACGCAATTAACCGTATTTTGTTAATGTCTAAATGCAATGGACCCAAATAATGTGGCTGTGGTTCTATCAGTTCAGTTCAATTCAATTCAATTCTTCATATATTTACGTTCTTACTCAACAACACAAAGGCAATTTTTCAAGTAATAACGAGCAGAAAGTCGAGACAAAAAAAAAGCGACAAAAACACAAGATGAAACACGACAATGTTTATCATTTCGACGACAACCATTCAATTAGTGAAAATAGGTCAATCATGATGCGATAGCAAGAAATATATATATATATATATCTTAATCCTGAATGCAGTAAATATTGAAGACTTAATAATTAAGAAGTACAACTACAAAACATGGCCAACTAAAGCAGTTTTGTTTCCAAATTTAACGTCCTTAGAACCAACACCAGAGGTGCAGCGCACATAGAGGAACGATAGTAATTATTCTCTCATATACCGAGCTCAGTATCGAAGGCCAATTCTTGCCAAAAAGACGGGACAGAATTTAGAACCAAGGTAAACCTGACTAAAGAAGCGATCATCGAGGTAAGACTTCTGCTTATGTAAGGTGCACAATTTTAACTTATGTATAATGTGGACATAGCTGTAACAGGTTTGGGGGGAGGATAACTGCAACAGTTTTTTTTGGGGGGGGCGATTGAAACAGAGAGCTGCAAGCTCCTACTGGATGTATTCAAGTGTGTTGCAATCAGAAGGCGTAATATTGAGGTGTATTCAAACTTAAGATTTAACCAGCGTGAGATATATTATTTTGACATGATTACATAGCTCGTTGCGAGGTAACGGGGTAAACATGCTTCCGCAACAACAAGTAGGCACGCAGCAATCAAAGACACTGTTGGAAACCGTGTTTTCTGTTCTGTTCATGCCGAGGAACGAGATGAGTTAGTTAGCTGAGATTCAACAATTGAAGCAATGAGTTAGCTATGACAGTCATCATCCGGTAAGGACGTGAACACAGAAGCTGAGGATCTACTTTTTTTGTGAGCCTCAACCTAGTAACGGTTAATTACTAGTTAGCTGAGATTCAACAATTGAAGTAATGAGCTAGCTATGACAGTCGCCAGCCGGTAAGGACGTGAACGCAGAAGCTGAGGGATCTACTTTTTTTGTGAGTCGTAATCTAGTAACGGTCAGTGAAGACAAACTGAAAAGATTTATTGTGTTCTGTAGTGAGGAGTCGAGTGCGTTTAATTGTCAAGAGCTCTATAATTACTTGTATTTATGATTTATAATATTTAATAATCTAATTACCAATCAAAACACTGTCTAATCACTAAAACGTGACAGTATATACATGCATTCGAGAGAAGGGAAGATGAAAGTTTCACTAAGAAAGAGACACAAGAAACTAATACGGTGAGAACATACATAGTTCAAATGATTATGGAAATGGATTTTAGTATCAAGAAACACTTTCAAGTCTTTAGTAGAAACAGTACGTCTCACAGAGGATTGAAAATGTCTGTATTCCTAGATTAATATGTTTCATTTTGGAAGGATGTAACATTTTTTTTTTCCTTGGCACTACAGCCCCAGTGGGTTTTTCTAGATCTTAGACGTACGATAGGACTCCTTGGGCGGGTGATCAGCTCGTCGCAAGGCCTCTACCTGTACACAAACACAGAAAAACGCATATAAACATACATGCCCTGAGTGGGATTCGAACCCACGATCCCGGTTTCCAAGCGAGGGAAGACAGTATATGCCTTAGACCGCTCGGCTACCGTGACCGGCCCGGATGTAACATTACTTTTATTAATACTAATTTTCATAGAGTTAGCAACACAACATCAGAATCTGGTAGGAGAGTTAATGTTTTTTTTGTTTAATCTGCAATCAGAATATACATTCTATAAGCTAATGTTATGGGTGTTTATATGACATGATGAGGAGGCGTCCAGCGGCGAATCCTCAGTAATTCAAATCAGGTCAATTGACCAGTTTCGTTTGAGTCGTCTGTTGTCTTCTCTTGTTGATAGCGTCTTTAAGAGTGGATTTTTGTGAGTTATGATTTTGTTGTGATGTCTGTTGCTTTTTTGTTGGATGACGTCTTGTATGGGAGATACACCGAGATCGGAGTGGAGAGTTGCGTTGGAGACATACCCTGGTGCGTCGACTATCATTCGTAGGATCTTAGATTGGCTTCTTTGGATTATTGCTGTGTTGAATTTGCTGGCGCAGCCCCATAGTTCCAGGCCGTACGTCCAAATAGGAATGATTATAGTCTTGTAGATCAGGATTTTATTTTCGACTGTTAGCTTTGATTTTCTGCCTATTAGCCAGTTTAGCTGTTTAATGGTTAGGTCTACTTGTTTTCGTTTCTTGACTATATGCTGCTTCCATGTTAGTTTGTTGTCTATAGTCATACCTAGGTATTTTATTTTTGTTTTGCATGGTATTTGGATATTATTGATATATATTTCAGGTGTCAGCTTTTTTCGTAGGGTGAAAGTTATATAGCAAGTCTTGTTTTCATTTATTCTGATGCGCCACTTCTCGAACCAATTTTCTAACGTACTAAGGTGATGCTGAAGGTCTGTCGCTACTCTTTCTGGGTCTTTGCTGACTGACAATATAGCTACGTCGTCGGCAAATGTTGCAAGAGTTATATTTGAGGAAGTAGGTAAATCAGATGTAAATAAGGTGTATAAAGTTGGGCCAAGGACTCTGCCCTGTGGCACCCCATCGGTTGTGGTTCAGATTTTTCGTTTCCCACTCTTATTTGAAACTTCGGTCACTTAAGTAGGATTTAAGAACCAATTATCAATAGAACCTCCGTCGAGTGTAACAATATATTGTTACACTCGACGGAGGTTCTATTGATAATTGGTGATTGATAGTGTAACGGACCAAAATGAAACAATTCAAAATAGGATTTAAGAAGGTTAAAATATGATGGTGGAAGGCTTTGTTTGATCTTGTATAGCAGACCACTATGCCACACCCTGCCGAAGGCCTGGCTGACGTCTAAGAACAGTGCTGTACAGTAGCTTCTGTCGTCTAAGGCTTTGTTGGTGATATTTGTTATTCGATGGATCTGCTGTATGGTAGAGTGGCCTTGACGAAATCCAAACTGGTGGTGTGGAATCCACTCTTCTGGCCTCAATTCGTTGTTTATTCTTCTAAGTATAAGTTAGAGTTAATGGTAAAGTAGACTTTTTATCATCTGCAAGATGCATATGACTAGAGTAGTTAATTTTTTATTGCCAGTGAGGCGGGACTAAGTCCCTTGTACTGCGGCCACTGCTGGCCTATTGTACCAGCCCCAGATGTTAGGTGAGGGTGATTGTGGAGCAATTGGTGGAATGAAGATTGGCAGGGGAAACCGAAGTACTCTGAGAAAACCTGCCCCAGCGCCACTTTGTCCACCACAAATCCCACTTCACCAGACTCGGGATCGAACCCGGGCCGCCGCGATGGGAAGCCAGCGACTAACCGCTTGAGCTATGGCACGGCCGACTAGACTCGTTAACTTGGTGACATAAGTTAAGAAGCATTTTTAAAAGCAGAGATCCAAGAACAGATCCTTGAGGAACACCGGTTAATATTTCAAAAGGCTAGAAGAAAGGGTTCCATAGAAAATGACCTCGGATTGTCTAACGGTTATGTA